CGGCCATTCTTCGTCTGCCCATCGGGTGTCGTCGTGTCTCGAGTCCCCCGCCTATTGCTGACGTCGCATCACCAGTGTCGAGTCTGCCATTCGTCGCTTGTCACGCATTCCGGCATGAAAGCGACAGGGGTTGAACCACCGGTGACAGAAGCAAAACCAGACGCAAAAGAACCCCGTCACATCCTACACAGACTTAGTTTCTACTTCTTATCCTTCAGACAAAGAGAGCTGATGGGGCTAAAGGCCATAAGAACACGCTGCTCTTGACCGCAAGTGCACTCCCGGGGGGGTTGACACATTCCAAGAACTGTGGCGTTTCTTCCTCCCATCGTCTTCTAGCTGGTAGGCCCGAGACTCAGGTATCATCTCTGTGATGGTCGGTCGTAGCGATTGTTCGTCGTCGTCGCTCAGCCAGCCGTATCTATCGTCAATCCACGATTGATAGTGCTGAGTGAAAAGTGACCCGACAAGAGGTCGTGCCAATGGGCACGTGGTGATAGGTCTTGTGGGGAAATCAGTTCAGTCAGTGAGTGCAGGAGAGAAGAGATCACGATCCTAAGACGTATGCTCCTGTTTCGATCGCCATGTCGGCACCGCCAGCGTATCAGGAGCCTCTGCTTGATATCCCCCAGAGCAAGCCGTTGCTAGTCGGCCAGTGCAGCTAAGGAGAGTAGTCAAAGTTCCCTGCACAGACAACTAGACACGTAGCCAAAAGAAAAGAAGCCAGTATAACGTCGAGATCAGCGGAGGCCGGGGCCTGGTCTGGATTCAGCGATTGTTGATGGTCGAGGTCGGAGCTTCCAGGCACTGCGCGAGGATCGACTAGAACACAACGTAATGGAAGATGGTCGTACGGCATACTAGGCTGAAGGAGCCTGTCATGATTTCGGGAAAAGGCAGCCTGCGAAATGTATCATGCAGCTTATCGAGCGAAGCTCTCACAAAACGAAACCATGTTGACCTTGTTGATTAATGAAGAAGCTGGACCAGCGTCGTGAAGACATGCCCAACCTGGAGAATGCGACCAGAACAGGAAAGGCAAGCACGGGACAACAACGTGTGCGGCAGGCACGCTATCCCTTTTCTGGCCAAAGTAGAATGGGGAGGAGGAAGGGGACCACGACTACGACTTTAGCACGCCAGCACGCCAGGCGTCGCCATTGCGTTCTTAGCGTCTTGGGTGGCTCCCTGTCCCTGCCGCTCAGCCCGCTCTGGACGCTGGGAGGACTGGGGCCCGCTGGCATGAAGCATGCTCGGCCCCCTGGTCTGGTCCCTTCACCTGGTCGGTGGTCCATTCCCCTTCTGTCGGTTCACGTCTTTCATCATCGATGCGCTGAACGAACGGTCTGGGAAAGGTACTTGCCTCGTCGGAGCATACCTCGAGAACATGTATCTATCTTACACTCGAGGGGAAGCACTCCCGAGAGGCAACTGATCAGCGCCATCAAATTGCAGAGTGTCTGAGAGACCAGGGGTCGCCTTCCAACACATTGCAGCAGCAACAGCGGTAATGGTAAGCGTCGAGTCAAGTTACCGAAGGAAGGAAGGCAAGGGAACGAAAAGTGGCCTGGAGTTGTCGCAGCATATGATCAGGGTGCCTTCGCGCTTGCGTCTGAGAACGACGGTTCGGAATGCTGTGATGGCTAGAGGTCGAGTCTGTCGATTGACATCTGACATGGCATGCTGAGTACCTAGTCCCGTGCCACCACCTTCAAGACCAGGCAAGGTCAACGGCGAAGGAAAAGAAGCAAAGACGCTTTGGAGAAAAGCATCAGCAGTTCGGTCAGCCACAAGAGCTTGACTTCTGGTCAACTCTCTCCGCAAAGACACTAGAACTCTTACCTGCGTCACGTTGGGCATTCTGGCAAGCCATGCAAGGTCGGGGATCCTTGCGCAAGGCAGGAGATGGCATCACCTGGTAGTGAGGTAGTGAGGTAGCAACGGCCCCGTCGAATTCAACAGAGAAACTGGCGAGTTCGAAAAGGCAAGCAACACGAGATGGCTTTATCTCCCTAGGTAGCATCGACACCTCTTTGAGAAGAGGTGCATCATCGCTGAACACCGATCCGCCTGCTTTCTCACATCGACGGACTGCCCAGATTTGCTGCGCCCCTTGGAACCCGCCTTCCTGAATCTACCTATCTATGTATTCGCATCGCGACGCACCAACATCACCGCGCTACAGCACCACTAATCAAGACTGTCGCAGCGTTCACCCGCAGGGCTTCACACCATCTTGAATATGATCCCCTGCCAACTTCTGTGGTATGAGGTTCTGGACCACCCATCAACAATCTGGGGACGTCATCGCCGGGATACTGCTGGGATCCCAGATCGCCTCTTCGCCCGTATGACAGGCTACCACTCAACACCACCACGTAGTTCCAGCTGAACATTCCGACCCTCCCCACCAAAACCTGTGCGGCCAGGCACCTGCAGTCTTCTTGATCTAGCGTCAGCAGTCTTACTCAATTCAGGCCGTGAGAAGAGAGGGGAGGGAAAGAAAGGAGAGAGACAATATCCAGTCCCCGTTGTCGGCATAAGCTCAGAGCCTCCAACTTGATCGTTGTTATCCGTTACCTGTCCCCATTCAGCTCCTCGTTTCTGTTGCGTTCTCGACTTCCCCCTTCTCTCCGTAGAAATAGCCAGCTGCTTCATCTACGGTGGTTGTGTATTTTATTTTATTTTGGAAAACAAACCACGCAGCCTTTTCCTACTCCGTCGCTACTCTCTCCTCGGAGCATTCTCTTTGGCTGCGCGAGATGACGCTCGCTCAACTCCCTCCTCTGCAGGTACGTTGACAGTGCTCGGCTTTCGTGCCTTATCCTCTGTGGTGATTGAACTGAGTGTGGTCGGGCCATACCTGAGCCAGCCTAAAACCGGCCCGCAGCACAACTCCATGCTTATTCCCCCCAATTCCCATGGCCGCTTGTTGACGCAGTGGACTGGATGGCTTCAAAGCGTTGTTGTCCTACGGCACTCGCTTGGACCCCATGTTTTCTCCTTTTATTGTGCCGAACCTCTAAAAGCACCATGTCGATGCCTAGGACAGCCGTGCCCGTCCATGTCCATTTTTCTTGGGCTGTTGGAAAACGACGCCCCGGTGTCAGCTTTGAGATGCACTGACACATGTCCTCCAGGTCTAAATCTGTTACCAAGCACGTTGCATCATACATCTATCGAACCCAAACACCAGGCCCACAGCAGTCCGACAAATTGCGCAAGCGCGCGAAACTCAGGGAACTCGGCAAGCCGGACAACAAGCTTCGCTGTCAAGAGAAGTAGGGAGTTTGAGGTCAAGCGCACCCACACAGGAGGTTGAGGCCGAGCAAGCCAGACTCACATGCACCGAGCACCATTCTTGGGCCTCCTCTCCTAACCAACACGGACGTCGCCAGACAGCACACGGCACGGAGCACCTAACCTTGGGCCAGATCGATCAGTGTCTGGGCAATCTCGCCGCCCCACTTCCGTTTCCTTCCGGGGCCTGCCCAAGAATTCGTGTACTTGCAGAAAGGTACCTACCTGCCCTGGCCCCTCTCTGCGCAAGTACCTTAACCTGCCTACCTTACCTACAGGCGTCTATCCACGCCAGCTCCACGCTTGCTGTGCAGCTCGCCTCGGGTCTCCGTTTGACCAGGGCCTGGCATGCAGTGGCTGCCAACCACTGGGATACCCCAAAAACAAGACACACCACACCCAGATACACACTGTCAGCTAGCGGGACCGACCTACCTACCTCAGGTACCTAGGTCAGGTACCTTACCTCCCAGCTCTGCGCTTCGCCCAGTCAGCAATCACGAGGACCCACGGGTCAGAAACCAAGAAACACTCCGTATCGCCTCCCTCCTCCCTCTCTACCGAGCAAAAGAACCCGCTTTGCTCGCATCGCAGACAGCACGCCTGCCGCGTAGACGAGCGGCCTCCCGTGAGTGGCGTTCATCAGTCCAGCTCTTGTACGTCGGCCCATCATCCAAGTCACTCGACAAGTTGTCTGTTGCCACCAAGTAAGTCACCCGACCTCTGCCGCGCCCACCCGCCCACTTTCCTCGTGCTGGGATGCTGGCAGCAGAGGCCTGTCCACCTTGGGAGGTACTTCGTCAGGTATTTGCAGGCCCCCTCGTCCCCTCGTCCCTCATCCTGTTCGCGCCTGGTACCACCCATCCCCGTGCCACCAGGTCGTTCTGTGGGGACCCCTGTTCGCGGACTCGGTCTTCGCAGCAAAGCCTAGACCAACCTCCCAAGTTTACCCCCTCCCCCCCCCCCAAAAGAGAGGTGCAGGGGGTTTGGTCTTCTGCATGCCCGCTTGTTCGAGGCGGTGCCGCCCACGGTACCGTACTTGGCCAGAGAGAGAACAGCGTGCTTGCGCTAGTGCATCTGTATTGGTATTGCAACTGACGACTCGAGACTCCAGATCTCGTGTCTTGTCTTGAGTCGTTCTGACCGATTCCAAACCATCTTGAACGTCTTTCCTCCTCCTCCATAACCGAACCTCTCCCCCCTCCCCCTCCCTCCTTCCTCCCCTCTCCGCCCGAGGCTGCTCTGCTCTTGTCACAGGGCACGCGACGGTTCTTGACGGGCCAGGGCCATGCTTCTTTCATGGCAATTGCGATCTCTCCAATTGCCCAACGCTCGTTGTAAGTCTCTTTGCAAAATCACTACCTACCTCACCTCTACGTCTTGACGCACCATCCGTGCCTTCCCTCCTCCCTCTTATCCTGTTCCTGCCTCTGCCTTGGCTTCCTGCCTGTGCCTTGGGCCCTCTTCGCCATCCCATCCCGCCCTCCTACGTTTTCGTGCAGCCAAGTGCTTTGTGCAGTGACGAGGACGGGCGCTCTCTCGTCGTTTCGTCTGCTCCTGTTCTGGCTGCCGGTACCTTTTTTTTTCTTCTCGCTTACTCCTACTCGCTGCTGGTTCCTGCATGGAACGAGTAGTCGTTTCGACGCTGTGGTACATACTTTTTTTCTGACACCTCAACTCTTCCCCCACCACAGACTACTATGGCGTCCCCAGAGCAGGTTCGCACACCTGTTAACCCGGTTTCGGACCCCGCGACAACAACCGACACATCGACGGCCGCGTCTATACTCCGCGACATCCTCATCTGGTATCCGGGAACCCTCTTGATCGTCTTCTTCATCTCCGGCGTCGCCTACAGCATATTGACTGCCAAAAGAGAGGACGAAATTGTTGAGCCAGGCGTCCGCGGTCCAGGTGGCAAACCTCTCCCCGCCACGAAGAAGAGGAAAAGAAACAGTGATGGCAACAGTAACCATTGGGGTCCCGACCCGTCTCCTGCCTTCAAAAAGGTCTTCGCATGGCTGTCTCTGGCCATGTTTCTCGTCTTTTTCGCCAATGGCATCGCCCACTTCGTCCACGTAGTCGAGGTCTGGCCGGCACAACGAGACGGCCAAGTTGTCTGGCGCGAGACGGAAGAAATGAGCGTAGGTACCTCTGGCTTGTTGCCCCCGGCTCACCTCACCAGCTCTGGTGCACAAGCTGACAAGTCTTCTCCACAGGTGTTCCTGATCGGCGCGACCAATTTCTATCTATACCTTTTTGTCACGATCCTCGAATGGCACCACAGCCCGTCACTTGTACACTTCATTACCTGGACGCTTGCCTTTGCTGGCGAGCTGACCATCACAACCTGCGCTCTCGCCATATTCGAAAAGCGCCGCGACACCCACGGCACCGCTGCGTTACGACCTCTCGACAACTTCGACAGCAAGTCGGACAAGTGGGATCTGATCGACATCGTCCTGGCCATCGTGCGACTCGTTCTTGCCTTCTGCCTCGTCAGCACGTACACCGCGTTATGGATCCGCAAAGCCTGGAACAACAGGGACAAATATGATCGGGATGCGGAACGGTTGGGTGCGGAAGAAGTCACACCACTTCTCAACGGTACGCGGACGACCTACCGCACCCAGAACGGCCGCGAGGTTCATACACGCGAGGCGAACGGCCGGAGCATCCGTGGCCGGAATGGTAGTGCTACGGCCAGCACCAACGGCGTCGTCGGGGCCATCAGCCTAGTCAAGGACGAGTCAGCCGCGTTCTACCGACCCGAGAAGATGCCGCACAAGACGTGGTGGGAGTATCTAAGGGGCTATGGCGTATTCTTCCCTTACCTCTGGCCCCGAGACTCGTGGCGGCTGCAGCTCATCTTCGCTATCTGCACTCTTCTGCTGCTCGCGCAGCGCTGGGTGAACCTCCTGGTGCCGCTCCAGATCGGACATCTCACCGATGCCCTCTCCGAGGGCGAGGACCCATGGAAAGCGCTGATCTTGTTTATCATTTACAAGCTACTACAAGGACCTTCGATGCTCCTGGGCGCCGTGCGGTCCATACTCTGGGTACCCATCTCCCAGTACTCGTATCGAGCTTTGACGACCTCGGCGTTCGAGCACGTTCATTCGCTGAGTCTGGACTTCCACCTTGGCAAGCGCACCGGCGAGGTGCTGTCGGCACTCAACAAAGGTGCCTCGATCAACCAATTCCTCGAGCAAGTTACGTTTCAAGTTTTGCCCATGCTCATTGACTTGGGGGTGGCCGTCTTCTTCTTTTATGTCCGATTCGACGCAACGTACGCGGTTATCGTCAGCTGCATCTCCTTCTGGTACCTTTATCTCACCATACGCATGGCGCAAACCCGTGCCGATCAACGCAGGGCCATGACGAACGCCGACCGGGAGGAGGAGGCTGTGAAAAATGACTCGATCACAAGCTATGAGACGGTCAAGTACTTCAACGCCGAGGACTGGGAGTTCAGGCGTTATCGCAACGCCATTCGGGTCTTCCAGGAGGCTGAGGCGCAGGTCACATGGGGCATGAACAAGATGAACGTCATCCAGGCGCTCGTCTTCATGGCTGGCATGACTGTTGTTCTGCTTTTTGGCTCCTATCAAGTCACAAACGAACACCGAACTGTCGGCGACTTTGTCATGCTTCTCACTTACCTCAATCAGCTCCAGGGCCCTCTCAACTTCTTCAGCAGCTTCTACCGTACCATTCAACAGGCAATGATCTCGGGTGAGAGGCTGCTGGAACTGTTCAAGATCGAGCCCACCGTTGTGGACTCCGATACAGCGAAGCCATTGACTGAGTGTCAAGGGCACATCCGTTGGAACAATGTTGCGTTCGCCTACGACCCACGCCAGCCTGCTCTCAAGGAACTCGATTTCGAGTGCACGCCAGGGACGACGACTGCGTTTGTTGGCGAATCCGGAGGCGGCAAGTCGACCGTGTTTCGGTTAATGTTCCGCTATTACAACACGACAAGCGGTAGCATTGAGATTGACGGACAGGATGTGAAAGATTTGACAATCGACTCCGTGCGGCGCTACATAGGCGTGGTGCCACAGGACACGACCCTGTTCAACGAGAGTTTGATGTACAATCTCAAGTATGCCAACCCGAGCGTCACTGAGGAAGATGTGTACGAGGCTTGCCGCGCAGCAAGTATTCATGACCGGATCCAGTCTTTCCCTGACGGCTACAACACAAAGGTTGGCGACCGAGGACTGCGATTGAGTGGAGGCGAGCGACAGCGTGTGGCCATCGCGCGCACCATCTTGAAGAATCCCAAGATCATCATGCTCGATGAAGCCACATCGGCACTTGATGCCCACACAGAGCAAGAAATTCAGGACAAGCTCGGCAATCTCGGTCACGGCCGCACTCTTCTCATCATTGCGTACGTTGTCTTGATGCTCTGAAACCGTTCCGGCTTGCTAACAAGAGACAGCCATCGCCTATCTACCATCACGCATGCAGACCAGATTATTGTTCTCAACAACGGAAAGATTGTTGAAAAGGGCACACATGAGCAGCTTGTCAATGCCAAGGGCCGCTATGCCTCCATGTGGGAGAAGCAAGTGCAGGCTGAGCGTGCCGCCGAGAAGGCGCGTGCCGCCAGCCGCAAGGCCCACAAACTCATGCGTAAAGCCAACATTGTCAGCAAGGGCCGTACAGATGGAACGTCGGACGGGTACAACAGCCTCTCGTCTTCGACAATCCTCCCTGGAGCAACCGACCAGAACTCCAAAGCCACTGCACCACGTGGGGACACGTCGAGCTCATCCACAAGTTCCGACGCTGATTCTACACATAACTATCACGATGAAACGGAGCGGTAGTAGACGCCGTCTTCCTGTCCCTGAGACATCTGTTGACTTTCACCGAGCGTGATTACATATTGTTGCTGCGTTGCCGTCAGCATGCGTCCTGTTGCAGGGGCAGCCTTCATTTCTTTCTTTCTCGCTACCCCAACGGGTTTCTGGCTTTTATTGTTACGAATGTTGAAGAATCACGACCTGCTACGGATTCACGGATCAGGAAGACTGCATGCCTCATTATTGGCAACTTGGCGTTTGGAGTTTCATCAGCAACGCTGCTATTTAATCGCAAGCTTTCACGACAGGCGGTGGCTCTGTTCCGTTTTTTTTCTTTCCTTTTTTTCTCGAGAGGGCTTTACTTCATGTCTCGTCTAATCATGTGGCGTCATGACGTTCAAGGGGGGGGGGCATGTATGCCCGACCGCTACCATGGGCGGGAGGTCCCCCCCCTTGGACCTTGCATCGGATTTACAGGTTTGCGTGGTGTTGACTTCCCGTTGCTCATCAGGACCGCGACGTTACCCGGTCTTGTTTGCTACTTTGCTTAGTCCCAATCTTGTTTAATCTCCGAGAGGAAGAGCGTTATCTCGCAACATAAGGCGAAGGTATGAGGGCTCTCTTTTAGGAGAGCCCCTGGGCTGTTAGGTGGGCTGGCGACGCCTGCCTTTTCTGCCTGTCTATTTTCTTGTCTGTTCTTGTCTCTTTGTTTGGCCTCGGTGGACGGTCTGGGGAAGGCAGGTAGGTGGTGGGGGGAAGGAGGAGGCGGGAAAAAGGCTACACAAATGAGCTGGCTTCACGGCTACTACGTACGTACACATTGGTTCTCGCACTTTCCATTTTTTTTTAGTCTTTGCTCATAGAGGGTGCCTTGGCAGAGAGTGCCGGGCCAATGCGAGCGTTGCGAACAAAAAAGATGAGATGGCTGTCTTCCCCCCCGCCATTTCGCTGTGTCCCGCGTTTACTCCAAAACAAGTGATCCAGATTCATGTTACTGCTACGTGTGACGATGGGGTGAGATGTGCAGTGTAGGAATCTCGCGCGAGACCATTCCACGTTGGAGGACTTGATTGATAGTTGGTGGCTCATTATTACAAGGTATAGTGAAATGTACGTGGTAATCAAAACATGGTGTACAAGGGCCATCATCTCTTCCGTTCTCATCGAGCAGCTCGGCTCAGCGGCGGTTCGGGACATACTCGGCTGTTGCTGCTGTCGTCGTCGTCGTCGCGGCGCACGCGGCGGATATCCCATCATCCCTCCCTCCGGCTGATCCTCCGTTCGCAGCGCGCCGATCCAACGCTAGCAAACATGCACACACACACACCTCCCCAGCAACCCCATCAAGAATCAATCGCGTGCCACATCTCACTGTCTCGTCATGCAGACTTGTGCCGGGCTGTAACCCCCCCAGGCGTCCGAACGAGGGGCGCTGATTGACCAAAGCTGACGCGAGACATGTTTTTGCAGCAGAGTGGATGCGTTCATGCGCATCATGGGATGCGTGTTGCTGGGATGGTAATGGTGGTGCACGCGGTCGCCAACTCGTCGTTGGTTAGGGTAGTCTCACATTCCATCCCCCCCCCCCCGCCCCCCGCCATTGTAGACGGCCGTGTGACCATGGCCGAGGGGGGGCTCCACCTACTCGGGGTAAGGCGGGTTGTGCGGTGGCGCGGCCGATCTGAAGTGTTGCTTGCTGTGTATCTTGTCTTTCTGGTCTGGATGGGCGATGACGACCTCTATTTCTGTCCCTGTCTCAGTGTTTGTGAGATCGGATGAGACGAGTCGAGGCTGGGTGGCGCGCGCGCGCGTGTGTGTGTGTGTATGTGTGTGTGTGTGTGTTTGTGGTCGCGTGCGTGTACGGGACCGAGCCAGCCGATGGTAGGCGTGGGCACAGGCGCAGGCGACATTGCCAATGTGAGCTTGGTGATTGTGTGCCGCATGGTCCAACCAAAGAATGACCTGGTTTGAGAAGCGAAGAATAACCTACTAGCCCGCTTGGCTGCTGGGCCAAGTGGTCGCCGAGTTCCTTTTCGTAGCGAATGACGTCGTAAACGGTACCTGCATGGTATGTACCGCGATCCCGGGGCCCTCCTGGCTGGATCTTTCCTCCCTATCCCTTCCAGCCTTGACCTCCTTTTCAAAGCGAGTGTGATGCAACTGTTTTGCTCCCCACCTCTTTTTTCGTCTTTCTTCCCTCCCTTCAAACCCGAACCGAACGCCTCATTATGGCTGTAACTCACCTTCTTCGAACCCCTCTCGGAAGGTTACAGCAGTGCGCCTCTCGTCGAGAAAGGGTGGAGACCCGTCGAGAAAAGGAAAAAAGAGAGAAAATAACATAATACGATGGGTTCATCTCCTGACAATCCCGTACCGGTTGGTTGATGCTCCGACTCCTATTGTATGCAAAGCAAGCGGAGGAGGATGAGGAGGGTCCCCCCCCCCATCCTCCACTGACGCTTCGTCCATCCACCCCCTCTCACATGTCGTGCGTCGGTGGACAGCAAGTCGCACGCGTTGGTAGGTTCGCGATGGGAGGCATAATCTACCTCGAAGTGCCGTTGGCGGCGGTCTTCTCGCTGACCTTGTTCACGGCCCTGGCCTTCTTGTCATCTTCGATGAGCTTCTTCTTCTCATCCTCGTCAAGCTCCTCGAGCTCATCGTCCTCGTCCTCGCTGCGGTCGTCGGTGGCCTTGCTGTCGCGCAGGAAGCGGTAGGCAATGCGAACGATGAAGAAGAGCCAGAAGAGATTGAGGGCCTGGAGGAAGGAAAGCAGGCCGAGGGTGATGACCTGGGAGATACGGCACTTGTACTGCTCGGTGGCCCAGTTGAGCTCAAAGGGACCGATGGTCTGAAACTCGGTGAGGAGAGACCAGATGATGCGCAGGTTGATGTAGTGGCGCAGGTAGATCCAGACGAACATGAAAACGGCAAAGTATGGGCCGGTCAGGGGGTGGTCGATGTAGTTGAGGAGCTTGGAGGTGGCGAGGAAGAGATCGCTGATGTCGTGGGTGATGTAGACGGCGAGACCAATGTAGGTGAAGTGGAAACGGTAGCTGAGGGCGATGAGGGCGAGGGACACAATGTGGTGGCCGACGAGCTCCTTGAAGTCCTTGCGGGGCTTCTCCATGCCGAGCAGCAGGACAATGGCCTGCTGGGCCCAGTAGGCAGCCTGGAAGAGGTAGTAGAACTTGAAGCCGGCGGCGTGGGTGCGGTGGGGGAAGTTCTCGTACATGCCGGCCGTGTTGTAGTACCAGACGGGGGTGCTGCTCATGACGTACATGCCGGCGGGCCCGAGGAAAAAGAAGTAGATGGCCGTGTACATCTGCTCCATGAAGCGGGCCTGCTTGGCGCGGGAGCGGAGGCCGGCGCGACGGGCGAGGGGTCGGATGAGCTCCTGCATGATGTATTCGCGCGTGAAGGACAGGACGACGGTGTAAAAGGCGACAAAGGCAATGTCGCGGGGGCCCTTGCCGTACTGGACGGGGGTGTCGGGGTCGGTCGGGGCCAGCGGGTGGCCGGAGCCGTGGTCGAGGCGGTAGGAGAGGAAGATGAAGCGGTGGACGGGGTTGGACTCGGTAGGGTTGAGGGCGTAGAGGAAGCCAAAGATGGTCAGGATGACGGCGGGCAGCAGGTAGGTGCGCTTGATCATGGCCTGGCGGGCGCGGGCGAGGAGGCCCCGGGCGCGGCGGCGCTTGGAGATGCGGCGGGCGGCCGTCTGGGCCGAGGGCTCGGCAGGTGAGGAGGAGGTCATGGCGGTGTTGTTGGCGGACGAGGCAGAGCTGATGCTGGGGCTGGGACTCGGGCGGTCGACAGCAGAGAGGCTCTGGCGGGACGAGGCGAGGGCAGGAGCGCCCGTGTCACCGGCGCGAATGTCTTGACCGAGAGCGCTCGACTTGCGGCGGCGGCGAGCGGCGGTCGTGTCGACAACGGGGTCGGCCGAGGTGTTGAGGAGGGGAAATGGTTCGACGGAGCCCTCCATGGTGACGCCGAGGAGCAGGCAGCTCACAGGTTCGGGGGAGTAGGGGTTTCGAGGTTGTGGGGGGGTTTGGAGAGGACGTCGCAGCGAGACCAGCAACAGCCACTGTTTGGGGACGGAGCGGTTTGGCAGTGTTTCCACAGAATGTCGGAGAAGAGATTTAGGGGGGGTGGCACAAAGAGCAGTAGAGCAAAGAGCTGGCTGGCTGGCTGGCTGGCTCTGTATGCGGCGGCCGCGACGAAATTGGAAGGCGTCGAGTCAGGCGTGCCGCCGTTGGTGCATGCGCAATGCCGTGTGTGTCTCGTTGTGCGTCTCGTCTCGCGTGGGCTGAAGGCCCCGTGGTCGTGTGCTTGTAGATGGTTTAGTAGATTGGTAGGTGTGTTCAATGGCGTCGTCAAGACGAGTGATGCCAGTCGTGGCTGTCTTGATCGATGAACTCTGGACTGGTCGATGACCGGGAGGGTTTTTATTTTTCTGGGTGAGGGAAGGGTCGCGCGATTGAGGATTTCCTCTTGTCGAGCTGGAGAGGTAGGACGCAGCAAGGATAGAGCGAAAGGAACGGCGCTGGTGGCAGGAGATGATGGATGGTCTTTAATCAAAAAGAGACGGAGGGGGGGGGGGGGGATGGAAAAAGCAGGAGGCTTTCTCATACAGGTACCGAGAGGTTCCTTACCAACCTCACTACCATGTACCACTCTCTCCTAGGCGGGTGTCACGAGCCCGAACCCATGGCGCACTTGCTCCCCCATTGGCATCAACGCTCAGTCGCAATTTCGTCCTTGTACTCTAGACCCCACATGGAAATCCTTGGCGCTGTAAACCCTCCTTTTCTCCTTCTGACCCCCCCCCCCTGAGACGACGAAAAAGACTGAAGATGAGGGTGGGCTCTGTAGCGGGTCTCTTTAGTGTCCCTAACCACCTAGATGTAGGTACCTACCCTGGTACCTCAGGTTCCCTACTGAAGATTCACTACGGCCCCCTCAGATTCACTACGGCCCCTTCAGATCCCCTGAAAGCCCTGTAGTCGATCCCAAAGGACGAATCTCACAGCTCCATCGCCCAGAACCAGAGGGCACCCCCATTGCCCCAGGAGCAAACAAAAAAACCAAAAGCCCCCCTCCCCCCGTCCCCGCCAATGTCTCATACCCAAGTCATCTTTTTTTTTTTTTCCCTCTATCGCCTTGTCCATCGCCGGCCGGGCGTCCGCGGGATCGCAAAGTCCCCGGTACCCGGACACCCGCGGAACCGATGGATGGGAACATGGCCTCCCCTCCCCCCCCCCCCCGGGTCCCTCAGAAACAAACCAGAAACGCCAGATCACCACGTCACTGAACATGGGGGGAAGGGGCGTCGACCCGGCTGTCCTCCCGCGCGGCGGCCTGGGCACGGGGTCGTCTGGCCAAACCATCACCGGCATCGTCGGCTGGACTTGCAGGAAACCCTCTCTTGCTTCTGGCGTGCGCTCGCCGAGTGGGCGGGCACCCACATGCAGCGCACGCACGCCTGGTCGCCTCACGTAAGCCACGGAGGGAGGACGGACACCTCTGCCGAGATGATCCCCAATCCTCCACACCACATCGCCGACCGCGCCAAGCGCCGTTCGCTGGCCCGCTGGCTTCTCCTGTGCATTCGCATGTCATGCCTGCCTGCATGCCCGGCTCGCCATCCAGCGGCCAGCATTCACATGTCACTCGCTCGCTCGCTGCAGTGTGGTAGACCTGGATCCCAAGAAGCCTCTGACAAGACAGGAATGACATGACATGTATATAGTATTCGACAGCCAGGGGCTGGCCATGCGACATGGCTGCCCGGGTCATCCGCCATGCTGGATGCTTGCTTGCTGCTTGCTGCTTGCTGCTTGCTGCTTGCTGCACGCTACACACGACTATAAACTTCTCCCTATCAACCCAACGCCAGATAAAAACGCCAAATGATCCCGGGTTGGACCTTTTGTTCGCGAAATGTCCACCCTTTCCTTGTTCCGTCCAGGCCGTAGCCGTGGCAGATAGCCCACCCAGCCCAATCAATTCCAATGAGACCCAAGCGCCGCGCTTGAATAGTAATCATGGTACACCCGGCCCACCCAGGCACGCAGAACCGTGGTCACACCGCGGCGGCGGCTTCACGGCGCAGGCGACCCTCGCGAGCCCTCCGTTTCCCGCCTGCTGTGCTCCGTTGGTGTCTGAACGTCCGATGCGTCTTCGTACTCGTACGTCGTCGTCGTAGTCGTCGCCGCCCGCTCGTAGCTCGGCTGTGTTCGCACGCCCGGCCACAGCGGCGGCCGGCTCGGGTTCGCGTTCACCGACGCCGTGTCGACCGAGGCGCTCATTCCTCGTGGCGCCTGTCGTGACACGTCGCTCGTCGTCCTGTCCAGGGCGTGCGGCAGAGCCCCTGCCCCGATGCCAGGGAACGACGAAAAGCCCGATCCGCCGCTCGTGCTTCGCTCCAGCGGCGACCGGCGGTCGTCTATTCCTTCTTCCTCGAGGAGACGTGCCAGTGCCGCTCCTTGCCGCGGCGGTGCCGGAATGACCGTCACCGGCAGACTGTCCGTCTCGGGCGTCGGCTGCATCTTCTCGCGCACCTTCTCCGCCTGTGTCGCCGCAAAGTCTTCTAGTCGCGCCCTCAAGTCCCACCGCCCGCCGCTGCTGGCGTACTGATCCCGTGTCCGGTGCTCACCGGCCGCTGCAGCCGTGTGCGGTGCCACGGCCGCTGGTGGACGATCACGTCCCTGCCTGTTGAAGAGCGGGTTGGTCGCGGCGCTGAGGGCTCGCCACCTGCTCCGGCCTTCGGTCGTCGTGTCGGTTTGTTGAGCCTCCGGGTCGATGTCCTTGGCAACAGCCGCCTGCCTTGGTACGGGTGCTGCGACTGCCACGCCGTCACTGTCTGACTCGGTGGTGCCGGTGCTCCGGCTTGTCGACGATGAAGTAGATGGCCGGACTGGTGCCGATGCCGGCATTGTTGCCGCTGCCGGCGGGGTTCGTCGGAGGTGCGTGTCGGGCGTGCGATTCGTTGTGTCTGAAGCGGGCTTGTACCTTACGGCATAGTCGGTGCTTGCTGCGCTGGCCGTGTCGGCCCTGCTCACGGGGGTTATGGCCGGAGGCGGGCGAGCTGGCCACAGTGGTGGTTGGATCGTGCCGACGGCTGATACACGAGCTTGCTGCGTCGCGTCGGCGCTACGTGCTGCCGATTGTTGCTGTTGCTGTTGTTGCTGTTGCTGCTGCTGCTGCTGCTGCTGCTGTTGGCGAAAGTTGCCTTGGTATTTGGAAGGAATTGACGTGAGACCAGGCCACGCCATAAGTCTCGCAGCCGTCGAGGTTCCTTGGCCTCCGTCGCCGCCGACGCTATCGCCAACGCCACCGCCATGTCCAGCGGCACCACTGCTTCCTGGCCCTCCGCCGGCCTGACTTTTCCGGTTCCTCCTGCGCCGTAGCCAGGGGAAGTCTGAGGCAGAAGCCTCCACCATCTCGTCGCCGTCGAAAACCTCACGGCCTAGGATGCCGTCTTTCTTCTCTTCGCGCTCCAGGGCTTCTATCCTCTCAACCCATTCCCACACCACCACACTGGCTGCGGCGGCACCTACCCAACGAACATATTCGCCCCAGCCGATAAATTCTGGCCTGGATATATCCAAGACAAAAAAGACAACAGGAATAAGGATGGAGAGGATGGAGAGAGCTGAGATGAGTGGCATATTCTTCATCAAGGGATGATAGAATGCGTAGCGCTTCTTCATGAGCGCATAGTAAATGACCCAGGCAGCATAGAGCAAGCCCAGAGAAAGGTGGAATAAGTAGCTGAGAGCGGGGACGGCGTCAACGAAGCTCTGTGGCCTCGCGTTGCCGTTGCTGCCACTCGTGAGATAGTAAAAGCTGTTTAGCGCACTGAAGATGACTTGCAGGGTGATGAGGGCAAAGGCGGTCCATTTGATAATGACCTTTTCACGCTGGCGTGGAAAGAGGCGGATCAAGGTTTGCGCCTGCGCCAGCCACAGAAACGTGTCGGAAATGAGGCGCATGATTTTAAGTTCGGTGCTGTCCATGACTTCGGACTGCAACTGATCTGCGTTTTGCACACCCCAGGCATACTGCTCTTCAGCGACGCGAAACGTATCGGCAGTGGCAATGGTCAGGGAGATGGCGACAGTCATGGCGGCTACTTTCTGCAGCCACGGGCGGCCACCAATGCTGATGCCGTTGGGTGAGCTGCCGGTGAAACCGCTGCGGCCGAGATATGCAACGCCACCGTCGAGGAAGGAGCGTGGGGTGACGAAGAGCATGATGACGAGCATGTAGGCGGTGACAGTCGTGGCGGCGAGGACGTAGCAGACGGGGAAGGTCGACTCGTAAAAGGCATCGCGAAAGTCGGAGAATTGAGGCGAGCCGCCGCTCGTTTCAGCGTCGAGGGCATCGATGCCCTCCGCGTTGGCCAGCAGGACGGGCGGTAATGACGAGGACGTCGGCGTCTGACCCGCGGCGCAGGGCGTCTCGAGAATGGCGGCGTGGGTGAGCGTAGTTAAAGGGTGGCCGGGGCCGAAGGATAGGACGGCACCGACAGAGAGTGTTGTCGCACATTTGGAAGCAACGGAGGCGAGGGTTGGTGTGGGCGTCGCGGCCGCGAGCCAGGAACTCACGCTCGCAGCCATGGTGGCAGACCGAACTGGCGTGTGGTGACCTGCAAAGGACACACGAGGCGGCCGGCCGCTCAACGATGGAGGGAGGAGGAGGGAGCGAGGTGTTCGAGAGCGACTACTCAATCGCCATTGGATGGTCGTCGCATGAGCAGGTTTTGGTCGGAGGGTACGAAGGGTTCGTTGCGATCGAGAACACGCACGGTTTGGACCGTCACTTCAAGTCGCAGTTCGTCAATCAGGTCGTGTCGCGATTGAGAGTCGTCGTCGTAGTCGCGGCGAAGAAGAGCACAAGACGCGCGCTGTGGGAGACTCCGGGTGGAGAGACGGGTGCGAGTCGGGACAGCGTGGCCGACGGGTCGAAGGATGAGTCGGTTGAGATGGAACGCCGGGTTCGGTCGTCGTCGCGACAGGTTTTTCGAGTGAGGCCGACGGCAGTCAGAGTATCGTGTCCAGACGAGCACAGGTAGGGCGATGTCAAAAGGCGATCATCAAGTGTCGAACAAGACAAGATTGTGGAGATGTTGGCACTGGTCGATGGCTGGGCGCCGAGAGTCTTGGGAACGCGTACTGCAGGTTTGGGGGAAGGTGTCTGGCACTGGTCTCCCAAGGGGGGGTTCGCTCAAGAATGCAAAATCCGGATTGATAGAAACGAGCGTTCAGACTGGGCCGTTGAGTCTTGTCAGGGTTTCGCTTGCTGAATATCGAGGGACTGCGAAGCCGGGTTGTTTGAACTGTGGTTTGTCTCGAGAGTGTGTTTGGTGCGTGGTTGAAGGAAGCGGCAGCGACAGTGGACGAGCGGACTCGCGGGCACAGCAGGATAACTGGGCTTCGAGGGGAGACTGATGGATATGAGAGAAACAGAAGGAGCAAGGGGGGGAACCGGGGTCGATGCCGGGGAACCAGACAGGCGCAGCAGTTGCACACGGTGCGATACGGAGGAGCACCGTGCGATTCGGTTCGCCCATTCAGACAGTGTGGGGGTGTCCTCTGGCTGCACGTCCCAGCAGTCCACAGCCCACGCCTCGCAGCGCGTTCGAAGCGTGCGTGCCGTGGTGCGCTGGCGGCGTGTAGAGATCTGAATTGACCCGGCCGTGAGTGGACGGTGGCGACACTAAAAACTGGTTCGAGTTCAGTGAGGCCCACAAGGGGGGCCTTGCTCACCTGTCACTTTCTCTGGCTGTCCAGATGTATCATGCCCGGACCTAGATTGTCCACAATGTCGCCAGGCGCGCAGGCCGGACATCATAACGAGCAATCAAAGCCTGGTTCGGTATCTTGCGGTGCATTCATTTGCGGTCATGGTCATGCGATGCTTGGCCAGGAACTGAACAAGCACTGAAGCACAGCGCCTTGAAGAAGAACAGCCCAGCCAAATGGACCCCTTCTGATCGGCGCTGCATTGCCTCGTTGAACAGTCCCAGCAGCAGGGGACCGCCATCGGGGGCTGTAGGGACCGAGAAGTCCCTAAGGTACCTACCTCCCTATCTACCCCCGGTACCTTGACCACTACAGTGACAGCCACTCTCGTGGCACCTCACCCAAGGTACAGGACACGGACACCTACAGGCGAGACTCGGTTTTCGAGTGCATCGCAAAGCGCTGTACTGTACTGCACTGCACTGCACTGCACTGGACACAACAAGCATCCCATCTCAGATATAGTACATGCCTGCCTTATCATCAGGTACCACGGGTCGACGAGCGAGACACACAGAGAGAATACGTATGGGGAATTGGGGGCGCCCTGGACGCGTCCGTGTCGCACGAAGCTTGTGGTTGTCGCGATGAAACGTCGAGTTGTTTTGCGGCATTCGCCCACAGTTCGGGGTTACTGCTGTCGGACAGCCAGCACGGCATTGAAAACTTGATACAGACACAGTTGGATACAGTGTGATGTGCAGTACTCAACCCCTCCGTTGTTGCGGATCATTGCGATTCTCTCCCATGTCCACCCCCAGGCGATTTTGATTTGATGGCGACACGAATCCTCCCGTACCCCCTCTCCCACATGGACAGGCTATGAACGGACAAGGACGGAAAAGGATGAACACCCACCACAGTCATGGTAAAAGGAGGGGGTGGGAGCGCGCGTTTGGCACCATCGACGCAGCACACCAGCCGACCCACTGCCTTTTGGCTGGTGGAAAAGGGGAAATGATGTGGACCCGCTTCGTCTGACTGGCCAGCCCTGCCACCCACGAGCCAGCCGCGGCCTCTCTCGCACCGTGTCTGGCGGGCTATCACAGTGCGCCAACTGCCATTCTCCTACTCTTCCGTCTCGTCCACGCCTCCTCTTCTTCTAGGTGCTGTCGTCTCTTTCCCCCGGTCAATCGTCCCCGATTTGTCCTCTACATGGTACATCCATCCACCTGGGCAAGCAAAAGCAAGACATGTAGGGCAGGGGATTCTTTGATGTCGCTGTTCTGGACTCCATTGAATGGCCTTTCCTCCGTCGCGCGCTTTTCAAGGCATCGGGGGTTAGCAGGCATTGACCGAGTCGCAGTCAGCTAAATCACCCCAATTACCAAGTATGGCCCCAAAAACCAGACAACAAAGTCCAGACCATGGTCCCCGCACAATCACTTGCAGTCGGGTACTCTCGAAACTGGCTCGTTACGTCGAGGGAGACTCAACAAGATGAGCTCGATACCTTTCTTGCCTCCCAGGTACCGGACTTTTCTGCGCCTGTCCGCCTGTCAATGGAGAGATTCACGTGGACACAGGAAATGTCTACATGGTACACTGCTACCAGCCAGGGCACGACATCACGAGACGAAACCCTCCGTCTTCGAACGCCTGGGAAGGTTCTCGATGAAGTGAGCCAAAAGTCGATGGGCCCAATGCTCAGTAACCTTTAGCGGCCCTCGCTGCCACGCCCGCCGCCACCATGCGCACGATAAACCGTCCGCCGAAGCCCACGTTCTCGAGCCCGCCCCTCCCTCGCGCCCGGTGGTTTTTGGGGGCTTTTTTTTCCCTACATCACGTAACGAGGCACCGGTGGAAAGTATAACAGAAGCTTAACGCCAAGCGCAATGGCAGCCGTCGCGGCGGTTCCTTTGAAGGCTTCCATCCACCCCCCCCAGCCCGGCGGATCGTCCGCAAAACTTTACAGCCAGCCCGCCCGTCTTGGCTGCTGCCTCTTGGCAAAGCTTGTCGCGCGTGGGGAGCGCATTGACCGCTTTGTGGAAGGGTGGTGGACCTCTGCGTCATTCTCGCACCACCGCGCGCCAAGAACCCCCCACGAGTCAACCAGTCAACTGCCACTGTGAGGCGCTTGAGTAAGGACAGGATGCTGTGCGTGGTACACCTCGCCCGCCGGCTGGCTGCCAGCTGTAGGGAGGATGCGCGCCATCAGGCCACCTCCACCCGGTGCTTGGCTCCCTGTCTGAAAACCAGTTCTGAACCGTTCGCGATGCCGAGTTTGCCGGACATGGCACTACTGTGCTACGTGTGGTCTTGCCGTGCCGTCAAGATTCATGCGTCGTGCTGCATCCTCTGTCTCACAATATCGTCATTACGCAGGTAGGGCTGGGGCTACACGTTGCACAGACAGGCGCGCAGGCGGCGCAAGCCAGCCACAACTCGATCGTCAAGAAGATGTCTTGGAGATCCCCCTTGCCTCCCAAGCTTCCAGAAACCAGAAACTCTGACGGACGCGACGCCGCTCGGATCAAAGTAGCGGGGTATGCTCTGCGGCTCTTTGTTCGTCCCATCCCAATGCGGCCGACGCGCCATCGAAGCCAACGTCGATATCGTGATGTGCTGCAGGTTGAGGAGGTATTGTTGTCCCAAAGGGGAAAGCCCCGCCCTTCGAAATCAGGTTACTTGCCCACGCCAGACGAGGCCCGTCGCGGTCCAGGCTGGTCTTGCAGCACTTGGCACCCACGATACGTGCCGGCCGCCTGGGTCTCGGCATCGTGACATGCGCCGAGCTGGTAGCGCTGAGCATCTTGTCAAGCCATCGCTTTTCCCATCGAGCGTGCTGACCATTTCTGACCTGGTGGCTTAGACAGCACATGTACTATGCTGCCAAAGATACTGTTCCACACGAGATGGACGCCTGCATATACGCCAAAGATGTGAACGAATGCATGCAGGCAAGTCCTGCCTCGAGGTATCATTATTCGTAAAAGCAAATGCTTGGTAGCCGGCCTGTGGGCCGCAGCCCCAGCATGCAGTGGTGCCAGCCTACACATCCTCCTTGTCAAAGGCGTCGTTGAGGTACCCCACGAACCCCTCCCTCATCCTCGTGACGGTGAACTCGCCGACGCCCTCGAGCCCGATGCCCCCGCGGTTCAGCCCCACAAACGCCCTCCGGTGCCTCTGCATCTGCGGCACCCCGAGCTTCCGCCCCGGGAGCTCGACCGTCAGCTCCCTCGCCTGGGTGCCTCCGCCGTTCGGCACGCTGACGGTCCCGCCCCCCTCCTCGCCCTGCCCCTCGAGGATCCGACGCACAATGTCCTGCGTCTCCCGGTCGAGCACGTACAGGTAGTCCCCGCCCGCATCGCGGCTGCGCTGCACCGTCGCCTGGTTGGGCTTGACGGCCTTGCGCCCCTCGCCCGCCACGGCCTCCCACAGCGACGCGAAGACCGAGCTGGCCTGCGCGTCGTCGTCCTCCCAGATGAGGGTGAAGAGGGGGCTGTCCCACCGCGTCATGGGGTTCGGCTCCTCGTAGCGGAACACGAGATTCTCCCAGCTGGCGGGCTCGTAGGCTTCTGTCGTCGGGGCGTTGTCGCCGGTCGTGTCGCCGTGTGCTGAAGTGTCTGCTGCTGCTGCTGCCGCCGCCGCCGCCTCTCTCGCCGCGCGCCGCGCCTCGTTGACCGACCGCGCCCGGTCGACGGAGCAGCCAATCTGCAGCAGCGCGCAGGGGGTCCTGACGGCCTTGGCCTCGCAGTGCAGCTGGTACCGCCACCCCTTGATGTAGTTGCCCCCGTCGAGGATGACTATGTCGCGGTCCGAGAGGACGCGCTTGACGGCCGCGTACGTCGTCGCGCGGGCATCCTTCTCCGAGGCGTTGGCCGAGCGCACATGAGCCGGCGTCGCGGAGAGGTCGTAGACGGAACGGGGGATCGAGAGGGACTCGTCAGAGATGAGGTGAAGGCGGTACGGTGGCTTCGAGGGTGAGGCCGCGAGGTGCGACGCGAGGTAGGCGTGCAGTTGGGCGGCCCGGTGGGATTTGCCCGATGTTGGGAGGCCCGTTACTATGATGAGCTGGGCGCATTAGGTGTCTGTCATGATGGCGGGGGTTACAGAACAGGGTTGGGATGGGAGGAAACAGACGAAGGAAACAGACGTACAGGCATGGCGATCAGACTTTGGGCATGACGATTCGAGAGTGAGGCCCAGTCCAGCAGGTTGAATCGTCCTGGGTTTGTCGAGAGGGAAGCTTGATAGATGGCGGGGCTGGAATTTTCCCGATCTGCACCCCCCACCTGCCCAAGATGGGCGGCCTTCCGCTTTCCTCCACACAGCTGGGGTCCCCTCATGTCAGAGCTGGCATGTCATCAAGGGAGTCACCTCAACCAGCATCTCGCGATGGGCTTCCTTCGATACATCATGAATGAGGCGCAGATATACAGGGATTTTGCGGGAACAAAATCAAAATTTTATTGATTCACCAGTGGGCGCTTCACAGAGGCCCCCGGCGGCACAAGGGTTGACGCATCGTCACGTATTTGATGGTCAAGGAAGTACATTCATTGGAGCTTCAGCATTGAGGCCTCACATTTGAGTCATCAAGCATCCACACCCTCCATGCCGTCGATGTACGCAAGTATCCTCTCCCCTGTCAGGTCCATCATTTCCCTGAGGTACAGATCTCTCCCACTCGGCGCGTTCGCCTTCTTCCTCGCTCCGCGGGAACCTCTGCCCTGCGATTTCTTCGTCCTCTCCCTCCTGGCCTCGATTCCCTTGGCCGCTGCCGCCCGTAGCGCCCCTCTCTGTGTATCGGGGTCGTCCGCCGGGATGATCAGCAACGCAGCTTCTAGCACCAACGCCAGCTTCACGTTGTCATCCAGATCGTCGGTGTTTGCCGGCCATGGCAGGAAGCTTCGTGTTAGCGTTTCCGCCGTGATCACGAAAAAGCCCCCCTTTGCTTCGTCGTTGTAGTCAGCTGGATCTTCGTACTTTGGTGGCAGCAGGCTGTCAAGAAGGAATCCCAGAACTTCGATCGCGACGGAACCGTCTGCCCCGTTCGCTGTAGCAACATCAAGTAGCGACGACAGATAGAGCTGGAACTTCGGCGGTGGCAGGTCCTTCAGTTGCCGGACGAACTCGACGAAAACGTCTTGAAAGTCAGCCAGCGCTGTGGGAAGCGCAAAAGCGGCTCCCGCCACGAGGGCGAAGATGCGAATGCGCAGGGGAGCTGCCTCCATCATGCCGTCAGGAGTGTCCTCGTGGATGGGTTGGTGAGGGCTTCGCGGGGTCGACCATGGCGAACGGCTGGCGGCGTCGAGGTCGAGGTCGTCTTCGGAATCCGTAACATCCATGTAGCCCCCGTACTCGCCCTGTTCCACATCAACGGCGGTAGGGATCTTTTGGGCTTCCTGCCTATCTCCCTGCGTACGCTGCTTAGATTCGTTGCGGAATATCTCCTGGAACAGTCGTCGCGATACCTGCTGGCCGTCCGCCAAGATAGCCTTCATCGTGCGGCTCATCCGTGCGCGGCCGGACCGCATATGGTTGGTGTACATCATAAACAGAGACTCCTCACGATGCTTGGTGCAAGGCTTGTCATCAGACTGCACCGGTTCATCCGCATCGAGGAATGCCCGCTGCGACCAATCCGCCTCGAGCGCCTCCACCATGAACTCCAGCCAAACCTTCCAATATGGCCATCGATGCCCATGCAGGCTGCTGCAGAGGAACCCCCAGCCGACGACGTGCCAGAAATCTTCAGCCAAGTGGAAGAGGCTTTCCTCGTTGGCATACTTGTTGTAAATCTTTTCCTCGTCAATACCGTCGTCGTCGTCATCGCCAGCAGCGGCATGCCGACGATGGGGCCGATACGGCCCACGAAATGCAAATGCCGTCTTGAAATCGGCGTTCAGCGGCCCTGCGATGGCGAGCACACCATTCAGATACGTCCAGGTTTCGCCGACTACGACGCCATCGTCATCCTCCTTGAGCCGCGTCGTGCGGTGGGGGTGCACAGTAAGGGTGGACAGGAGAGCCAGCTGGCCAGCGGGAGCGACGGTCGCTGGCTTCGGCAGACCGTCCTTGCGCGCATGGCCCGAGATGAGCATCTGGCTGAGCATGAAAATAGCTTTCGTGTCTTGGAAATCTGCGTCAGTACGTCTCAAGTCCGAGAGGCGTGGGTGAGGCGTGGGGGGGGGAGAAGGGAGGTACAGAGTTGTTCCTCGAGCAGGATCTTGCATTGCGCCTCCAGCTCACGACGGAGGGGTGCCGCCTCGTGATACACAGGTGTTGAATGGACAGCAGCACCATCATCGTTGTGTATGCTGGGCGTCTTGTCTTCGTTTTTTGTGACACCGCCTGGTGTCTGGACAGCTGTGGCGAACGAGTCTGGCGAGGACTTCTCAGAAAGGTCCGAAAGGAACGAGGATGCCCTTGACCCCGCCATGGCAACGATGTCTCGGCCGTCAAGTCGCCGTCATTGAGAGGGGGTGGTTCGACAGCTCGCTTCCGATTCTAATAATCGTCGATGCCAAAACTTAAAAAAAGATCTCGTATGACTGCACACCAGCGTTCCTACACTTCATCCCATGTTGACAGGCGCGCCTAGGCAGTCAGTGGCGCCTAGGCGTCTTGACTGAGGTGACGTCTGTTTGCCTAGAGTGGACCGCACCCCACCCCCTGCAGGACATCCAAACCAAACCAAACCGGCCCCCTCCTTCTCCCCGGACCCCCTTCGCTCAACCACCCCTCCTCTACACTTCCTTGCCATGGGTACAGTTCGATCTCTGGTAGGTTTTCGGTACGGTACACACCACCACGACCACCGTAGCAGCAGCCACAGACCAATGAAGACCGACCTGATCGTATTTCCAACCAGAAGAATTGCCAATAAGGCTGAAAACGAAATTCCCCAGAAAAGGTAACACAAGAGAAAAATGCATGTCACAATCACATGACTGTGGCTATGTCACTTCCGACCGCGATTTGCTTCTTTGCGAACCAAGGCTTGAAGCAAAGCACGCCAGAACCTATCGACCACGACACACATCTTCACTGGAGCAGGGGCGAAACCGGGGGAGAAAAAGAAAAGAAAAGAAAAAAGGCGGGAAAGGGCTTAAGAGTCATATCGTATATTTGGAGTTCCCCACGTGCGCATAGTATCGTCTCATATCGTAATTGTATCCGAACATGGCCGTTCCTCGTGTATCCGACTGCCATGTTTAAACCCATTCCGAGGTCTCAGTCCCGCTCTGCCACCCTTCTGCTGGATTTCCCGTGTTCCTTCTCGTCATTCTGTCCTCGTGACTGCGTCTCGTGTGTGCGTGTGCGCGCGCTGGCCCCATGTCTCCTGCGACTTCTGCCAGCGCTCCTCGACGAGCTTCTGTTCTGTATACTGTGTGGTGATCGACCGTGTAGTCATGCCTTCTAAGTGGTGATGGTCCCATTCTAGCCCCCCCCCAGGAACGTGCCGGGGGGAGTACTGTGGCGTTTTTCTTTTTGTTTGGTGTTGCTGCATATCTCATGGTTTGTAGATCTCAAGAGCCTCTCGCTTATCGAGATGAGCATCTTCAGCCAATGGCTAGCACAACGGTTAGCTGGCGTCGTGTGAAGGGGCTTGTGGGCAACGTACTTGGGTCGCCGGGCTGGGGGGCAGAGCAGAGGGCCGTACGGCAGCGGACGACGATGGCGTTGTAAGTGGTCATTGTGTTGGAGTTGGTGGACAATGAAGTGGTTCGGATGGAAGCGCAGCAAGGCATGTAGACGTTGGCTGAGTATGGACAAGACTGCGAAGGGTGAATGAAGACTTTATGTAGGTTGGTGAGGATCAAGGCGAGGATGAGGTGAGTAGTGCGAGGATCGAAATAGACATTACGAGCAGAGCTCCTAGATATATATAGAGAGAGAGAGGCAATCGTAGATACATCATACTGTCTCTGGCACCTACCATGATACAACCCTTTCCAGGTACCGAAAGTGCCATGCAAAATGCCTTCAAGGCAGCGAGGCGATGAAGCTCCGCCTTGGACCCTGGACCGACTCTAGCCTCTGCCCATCAGGTGGAATTCAAAATGCCGACGCAAGACCAAAACCAATGACAATACCCAGACGACGGTACAATGGCAGGCGGCAGCCTGGTGAGGCCCCATTTTTCGGTAAGGCACGTATATGGTAGTCGTCGAGGAACGGAGACAGTCGACTGCGCTCGATTGGCTCCATGCGAGAGTGTCTCGCAGGGTTCGCTTGCGTCAAGGTGAGAAGGGCCGCTTGTCGAGTCGAGGGCGTGGGGAAGTACTCCAGTGCATCAGTGAGTCGAATGCAAGGTCTTGTCCGGCCTCGACTCAGGCATCCTTGATCTGGCCGAGATACATCGCCGAGCCCGCCAAGTTGAACAACCCTTGCCCCGTGTACTAGCGCTGTGCGGTGGGAGCAGAGGTACCTGGACAGGTATACTGTGGAGGGCAAATGGAAGCCCGGCACGCGCCACCGGCACCGCCCTGATTGGGACGAGATATCGCAGGGGACTTCATGACACCGAAGAAGAACACCGAGGGGAGGCAGAGTGGCAGGGGGCAGGGCGCAGTGGCCATAGACATGGGGACGTCTGCCTGGAGAATGGGGCCGCCAGAAACCAGCCCCGTCTTCTCGGACTCGTCCTCGAGGGCCTCGATGGCCTCGAGTCTCGAACTGACACACCGGGGAGCGCAGCTTGAGGTAGAAGCCTGGAAGACAAGGACGAAATGGGACACCGAAGGCATGGGTAGGCCGAGCGATGCGATGCGAAAATTCGCTCCTTCGCCAACCACAGCATCCCGCTTGGGACCAGTGAGAAACGATGATGGGGATTGCGGTATGTGAACATCGCGGGGTCTCGCAATCTAGGCCCGCCCTGACACGACCTGATACTGCAGGGGAAACTGCTAAGAGACATGTGTAAGGCTGAATTGAATGTGTGGATGACTCAACGCGATCGTCTCCAGGCAAGACATGACGAAATAAACATGGTGCGAGGTGTCGTACATGGGGAGAAGAGGCTCAGACGAGCGACAGGACCTGGCGCTAGAGCAAAACAGTAGCAAAAAAAAGCAGAAATATCATGTCGGGAACCACTACTGGTCTCGGGAAGACCGGCCGCACAAAGACGTCGCAAATCCGAGGAGAAAGGCAGTGAATGACCCATGCCGTTCTAGCACATAGTTTGACCGATGACAAGGTAGGCGAAATGGGACCGGTTGATTATAGTGCGAAAAGTGTATGAGAGGGAGAAGGAGAAGAAGTGCAAGACGCGGCGCCAGACGAGGCGGATAAGGCAGATGAGCACGCCCTGCCTGCTGCCTGCCCTGAAGTGGAGCGCACACATGACCTGCTGACATAATATTCGACTATACTTGGACTAGCGTCTTTTTGGAATTGGCGTCTGTTCAAAAGTCGAAATTTCTCGCATCTCTACCGACACACACCTCTCCCTCTACACCAGATTCTTCCGACTTTCCGATTCCAACCAAATTTCGACCGTTCCAAGCCTACATTGAATAGACCGATGCTACTGCTGGCTCGCGGTCTTGTACTTGAGCCCTGGACCAATCTACACATCTTGGTGTCGTATCAATACACAGTCTTTGCGAGGCTGGCGGTCTCGTCAGACTATGTCTGAGGGCCCGGCACGACTTAACTCAACCCGATCCGAAGCGACCGCGACGTTCAAAGGCTGGCTCGGCAGCACGAATTCTGGTCTATTGGTCTCTTGAAGAAACTACCGTGCCCATCCGTCGACTGGAAAAGAGAACGCCTAATGGCGCGCCTCCGTGCCACTTGACTATACACCCCCGGCTACGGCCAACCCACGACTTGCCTACACCCCGCGCTCTTAGTACGCAGGAGTGTCAACTTATTTTATTCGTTCGTATGTGGGAGAACAAACTCAAGGTCTAGACAACCTGTCCGCTCCACCCTACTGCCATAGAGAAACTGTGTGGCAGTAGGACTAAAATCGGACGAACATCCTTCGGCGCATCCAAAGTGCCTTGATCCCGCCATACCATTTTGAAAACAGGCCGCTGCGCTATGCTAAGAGATCTACATCGGAGGAGAGTCATGAAAATCCTGTCTGCACCATACTGTCACCCTGATCGCGTTACGCTGCACTGAGATCCATCATGTCCCGCTGCTGGCTGTTCACCCATTCTCGCACAGCCGCACTCGGTAATGGCACACAGCCCTGCTTCGGCATACCACCAAATATGTGCTCTTCGCTTTTGAAGGACATCAGGAACCTCGCCGCCAGCCGTCCACAGTAGTTGACAGCAACATTTCTTGGCCACGGATGCTCCTCCGTCTCTGACATTGGCAATATCGGGTCCTTGACCAGGTCGTGAAGTTCGTTCCCTACAGAGATGATTAGTTGGGTAGCTCGCCGAAATGGTTCATCCTGAATACTCACAATCCGGTCCTACCAAACCTCGTAACCCCCCAATCAATTCGGCCGCAGCCACGCCGCCGTCGGTGGCAGCCGTCGCCAACGAAGCGTCATCTAGTAGCGGGTTGAATGCTTTTGAACCATGTTCTTTGCTATGCGTTTGATAAATGTGGTGAAATTGCCACATGAACTGCTGAAAGGGCATCTTCTCGACCTGCTCGTTGACCTCGAGCACCTGCCTGCGCGTATAGAGCCGTTGCTTGCCAGCTCGTATGCTTATCTCGTTCTTCGAGAGGACAAACATGTCGGTCGCACGCTCCATGTCCTCCATAAAGAGACAGACCACCAGGAAAGCAGCCAGGCAAGGCGTCCACTCAAGTTTTGATCTCGGCTTCAACGACGTGTTGAATATGCGGAACAAGTCGGACACTTCACGCGCGAGTTGTTCATCGATGAGGGCCTTGAGCTGTCGGTTAAGGACAACCGCGGTTGGATGCTCACCATCGGGCATACTGAGCGTGGAGCAGCGAAGGGCGTCCTTGTTGCGGAAGAGCAGCTGGTGCATCAAGACATAATGCGCCGTGCATATGGAAAGCGCCTTCTTGACCATTTTGGACTGTCGCCGTCAGCATTGTAAGAATTCCCGAGGCGGGGCCGTGGCGGTCTTACGTCTGTTTTCCTGGCATAACCTTGAACCAAGTTGAGTATTTTTCCGGGAAGAGCTATATCACCCAGCTCCTCTGTAATTTGCTTGGCATAATGTTTCTCTGTTGATAAAGACGAAATGTAAGTACTGATCTTCCTTTTGACGGCCTCCTTCTGTGAGTCGGTCTCCAGATCCAACAGCAGTGGCACTGAGTCCTGCTTGTGCAGCTGGACCTCATCCTTGTTGATCTTCGAATGCCAGCCGTGATGGGCGTCGTCGTCCCTTGGCTGGAAGGTTAGTGCCTTGAGCACCAGGGTTGTTTGGAAGCGATCGCCAGAGTGTAGCTCAATTTGATACGATTCTGACGAGCGAGACGACATGCCCACATGCTCTCTTATGAACTCGGCCATCTCGTCCCTTCGAAGATGGGTTCGCATGAACTCGGGAAAGAGTACGGGGATAAACTCGGGAAAACGCCAGCAGACAAGCTGCGGAGTGCCGGTCCTGAGTTTCCTGCAATTCCTACAGTCGCCATCTGCATCACACTTGACCTTCCGGCTCTTACAGCAGAAGCAAGCACCCTTTATACGGACTTTGAGTGCGGCTTCCTTCGTAGATGTGGCAAGGGGGCCCTTGCGGCCCCGCTGCGTAGTGTGTATGCCTCCATCGAAGCAGTTTGAGCGGCCAGCAGCAGTAGCAATATTGACTTGCTCAGCGGTGAAGACGAAGAAGGATGTCTTGTCAACATCCTTCTTGGATTTTTGCACTCCCATTGGTTTGGCCTTCCGGCTGGAGGCTGCGTTTGAGCGATTATGATCGCGGCGGGCAACAACCGATGGGGCACTGGAGCTGGGAGATGGCCGTGGAAGACTAGGGTCTTTGGAGTAGTGGCTCTCGTGGATGACGAAACGGCGGGTAGTGGATGCACCGGGCGCCTTGGCCAAAGAGGTCTCCTGCGTCTTCTGTTGTTGTGACTCGCTGGGCGTCCATGCTGGCCGTACGGGATGATCACCGGGATGGAAGCCCTGTTGAAAGTTGAGGGTCGGATCCTGGGTTGACGGCGAGCTGTCCGGTTGTTGAATGTGCTGTTGATCCTGCGGTTGGTGTATTGGTGATTGTTGTGCTGCCTGGTACGACAAGTCTGCCGCGATGGGGTAGGGGTGGAATTGCAAAGGGAAGCTAGCCATGTCAAACTGCTCCTGCTGCATGGCGCTGAAGAACCCAGAGTGAAGAAGAGTCGCCATCTGATCGGCAGGCATGACTGGCATATAGTCAAGGGCCATTGTCATGCCGACATCTCCGTTCACCGTGACCGCTGGAGCCGTCGACATGGGCATCGGCGGCGCTGTGGCAGTGTCTGCGGGGAAGGCGTAGGCAGCAGCACCATCGCCAGGATGGAGATTATACGATATCGGTGGGGTCTCTGCTTGACCCCGGAACGAGCCCGCACTCGGAGGAGGATGAACATGGTAGGGTGGCGAAAGCCGGCTGGCCATAGGCGACCCGGCACCGGAGCCAGGAGCGGAAGCGGACGGGGGGCGGCTGGGGACATGAATGAAGCTCTGGAGGCTGCCGCCGGGACTGTTGAGAAAGTAGAGTGAGCTTGGGTTAGAGCAGCCACTGGCGTACTGTGAGTCCAGGTATTGCCACGAGTCTTCCGTTTCGCCTGCCGAGTCGAATTCATGGGAGTGGAAGACCTGCGGGGACACGCTGAGGGACGACATGATCGTGGGCTGCTGCTGATGGCGGCGAAGATCGATCGGAGGAGCTTGGAACTCCAGCGGGCTCGTGTTGGTGTCCGCCGATGGTTTGGTTGCCTTTCTATTCATACAAATGCCGACTATGATGTCACGAACCGGGGAAACTCGTTTGGATGATACACTGAGCCGTTCGTCGGTCGTGGTTGATGAAGACGGCGTTGTCGTCCCAGACCTGGCTGGCGGTCGGGTCTCTCCCGCGAGGCGTTTTCGTCAATCGCGCCCACCTCACCTTGGCGTGTCGCCGCCGTTCAGGGTCAATGCTGGCGATCTTTTGTTCGTCGTGAATGGGCCGCTACCAGAGCATGTTTGTTTGGCTTTTATATCTCACAAATCGGCTCCGCGAAAAGTCCTTTTCGAGATGTCTCAAGCCATGGTGCTCTCGTCAGCGCCGGGGTTGTGACGGGACGAGAAGCAGAAGAGAGACGCTCCCTCTCAGAGGTGCCGAAGACCCTGGGGTTGGTCCTGCCCAGACCAACAGTCGGCAGCTCGTACCGCTCCTGCCTGTCCCACCCTGATGCAAGCTTGATTAAACACCGTCAACTGCCAAATCAGCTCCCGCTTCGGTTTGCTCCAGAGACCCCGTTGGCGACCTTCACTAGTCCTGTTTTGGACACCGAGCTCGACGACCTGATTCGGAATGTGCTACGCTGCAATTGGCCGGCAACAGGGCCAACCAATCTCACGATCGACTCACCTCTCATGAAGAACCAACGACAGGACAACATTCTATTCCTGCTTGTTCAGGATGACTCGCCCAACCGTACCTCTGGGAGGCTCGCGATCCAGGTTGGTACTTGCAGCCGGCACTCGGAATGCAAAAAGCGCGATTTGGCTTGACCCAGCCCAGCAACCCCATGACAAAGAACCCCAAATAGACACACAGCACGACAGTACACCGTCACACACAGGCAAGTCAAGTACGTGACTCTGTCAACTTTGAGTTGTTCAAATGGTCATTGTCAATTCATGAGGTACATGAGTTCGTCAGTCCTATCTGTGGTATCCTGGACCGGGGTGGGGGGGGTTGATGAGATAGAGACCCGGTGCTTCGCGTCATCAAACAGGGCATGACCGGGCAACCCGGTCTTTAGGCCTGCTGCTAAACTCCATCCTCCCTCCCGCAACATCGGCGGGGTAGTAGCGTGTAAACATGTCGTCAAGGTAGTTCGGCCCACCGCTCCGACACTTGTAAGGATGGGACACAGCCTTCTCCGAACTGGAACTGGAACATGGAGACACCCTCTGGGTCGTTGCTCGACCATGAGAGCGACGGGCGCAAAGCAAAACATAGAGGATGAAAATAAGAAGCCCCAGAAAAACGAACACCAGTACTGAAAGAAGCACAACAGGGGGGAAGACCTCAAACCCGGAACCGCGCCGCCGCAGCCCGATCTTGGATTTGCTTCTCCGTTTGAACGTATAACTGGTCGAGATATTTCATCGCGCTCGCGTCTTTCAGAATTTTGGCCACCTGAATCCCCGCCGAGATGAGCTGCAGGATGTTGCGATCGTCCTTCAGAGGCCGGCTCTGGTGTTTCGCAGCATGTCGCATTTCGAGCGAGTTCTCCAAAATGGTGACAAATTGCTTGATCTGGCCGTTGTACAGAACCCGTGCGGGGATACGACGCTTCGTCGCCAGTCGCTTGAGAAGATATACCCACTCAGTCCACTCACGGTCCTGTGGCCGCTCAACAGGTCGCATGTCCTGGGTGAGAGGGATGGGGAACTGATATTTGGCGACAAAATCGAAAGCACATTGTGATAGTCGATCGTTGACTTGCGATAGGACCGAATCTTGCTCCTGCACAAGGAGGTTCGTGGGTAGATGAGGGAGCTCGCGCTCTTGTTGCGCGACATAGTCTTGTGGAGGGCGAGCGAGAAACTGGTGTGGACCATCAAATTCATCGCGGTTTGAGGGTCGACGCTGTGGACGAGTCTTCCCTCCAGACTTGTTCTTGCCTGATGACGTCGGCTCAGTCCCGTTCTCTAAAGAGTAATCTGAAAGGTTGGGGGAAGCAATGATGTCGTCGACGGAGTCCGTGGGCGAGTATCTTCCCTGAGAGTCCCAGGCTTGCGAAGTCGTACTCTTATACGACCCGTATGCAGCTGCACCACTGGTGCCGTGCGACCCGGACAACGGCCGCGTGGAGTACGATGTGGCTGCCGCATGATGGCCGTTGGTTCCTAACGGCAGGTTGTATGAACTGACGGCGGGAGAATATTGTGAAACACTGAGGAAATACGCATTAGAATGCAGGGAGAAGAAACAGGCTTCGCGTCTGGCGCAGTATGCTTGTCCATACCTTGTTGTTCGATAGAAATTGTTATCAAAACCTCCATTTTGGAAGGCATCACTGTACATCGAGCTTTGAAGGTGTCAGTCGCAGGCCGCGTTGCATGTGCCATTTCGCAGCCAAGGGAGGTCCATACCTCCGTGAAGGATTCCAGGGTCCGTTGGACATGATGGTGTTTCTGTAGGCAATGTCCGGTTGGCTCATGTCTGTTTCCTTGGTCTGAAGTGATAGAAGCAAATAGCGCTGTGAGAGAAAAAAACAATCCTGAGAGCCTGGCGTGGGAAGACTACATGAAATAAGAGCAGGGGCTCCGCTCAACTGGACAAGCTAGGCAGCCTGGAGTCCGACAGTGTCCTGGAAATAGTCTCTTTCTTCTGGGTCCAAGTATTCCTGGTAATCCTGAGGCAAGGCTTCCACAGACACACAAGGGAATCCACGGTAAAGAAGACCTCGTCTTGGTAAGGGCTCCTGGGAAAGCACCTGGTTGGTGCAAGGCGGTGTGGTTAGAGGTGAAGTGGCAGGTGATCGGTCCCAAGAGGTAAGAAAAAAGGACCTGTCTCCACGAGAAAGCAACTGAAGGGGTCCTTCTAGTGTGTCTGCGTGGGGGGAGGTATGACGGCAAACACTAGAGTATTAGTGCGGTGTTTTGTCTTGCTGGCGCAAACCAAAAAGAGATCAAATACACGGTTCCCAGGGCGGACGAGGGTTAAAGGATGAGCGTGGTCGAGAACGGCGGCTAGAGATATCGGATCGAAGGCATTTTATGTTTGCTTGGAATGGTTTCTGAGTGGGACCCGGGGTCAAGGGAAGAGAGAAAGGTTGATCCTGGTCGAGAAAGCAGTGATAGTCTGATGGATGCCCCGTTCGAGGGTGAGCGGCGAAAAGAACAAGGACCGGGCGTGAAGCGCGTGGCTAGGATGGTCAGAATTCGCGATCGCCCAGTCACCAACATGACGGGACGCCTGTGGTTTCAAGCGTAGACTTGCCGCATGGTCTAGAAGATACGTGACTGCCAGGGGGAGGTGACTAGCACTGGAAGATTGGGTCTTGAGGCTTCTCTGGGTTTCCTCCTTTCGGTTCGGTTGGCGCTGGTGACTTTCGAGGGGGGTTGTGGTATGAGTGAGGCACGTTGTGGGCAAGGGAGGATCGGCGTCTACCGTGGTGAGGTTGCAACTTGACCCATGAAGCAAAAGTGACGACAGGTTGAACGACAGCTGTGCTTCCGTCAGGGAGTACCCCAGACGACAATATGGTCTTAAGGGGGGGTGGACTGGATTGGGTTGGATTCGTGATTGGGGGAGGGCTCAACAGGCAAGACGGAGGATGCTCATGCCGTAGGGCACCGTTGGGCCGTGACGATGACCGCTCGACCGCAGACAGAGGCTGGTCCGACGGCAGGCGGAGGGAGAGGGTGGTGTTATTGTTGCCCGAGGGGTTTGGGGGTAGACATGATGTAGCGGCTGGGATGATTCGGGGCAGGGAAGTACCTGGCAGGGAGAAAAGCGGTGACAGGAAGCTGGGTTAGGCATGAAGCGTTACGACACGATGGACATGCCCAACTACCTTACCTACCTACATTGCCTACCCAACCTGCATCTGCATGTGGCCATGCCTTGATGCCCACTCCACTCGGACAAGCATCGACCCCAATGGCTGGAAAAGAAACACATCTCTGCTGACTGAGGTGGTGAGGCGAGTTTGTTGAATGGGCGCCTCGGCGCGATGCAAGGGAAGGCGAGGCAAAGCAATTCTGGCGGCCCTGTTTTACATGGCAGCACAGAGGGGGTCCCACACAGAGAGTGAGGCGGCCGCTGAAAGGGACCCCTTCTCCATCGCTTCCATTGGATCCCGGTCCTAGAAAAGTCGAACGTCTCGCATCGCCAGAGAACTATGCTTCAGCTCAACTGAGCCAAGCTGCGCCGTGACTGGGTCGTCTCCTGACCCCGACTACGGGATGAGGGACCGCTTGGCCGGAGACAAGTGCGTACGTCGGCTGATGACGGCAGCCAACGCGTTGGAGAAGGGTCTGGATCGTGGGTCACACGTGGACTTCGTTGGGCGATGCTGTCGCCCGATCGCCCCCTAGCAGTCTGCTCGACCTGAGAAGAAGAAAATGGCGACGAGAGATCGGGCACCGGGCACCACCCACCTCGCCGGGGCAGGGGCGAGGGTTGCGAGAAGGATCTTATCGTGTACTGTATGTGCGTACGAGGTCTGTCATGGTACCTAGTCGGCCGATCAGCGGAAGGGAAATCTGACAGATCTCGGGGAGTCAGGGTCCTTGTTCTGGTGGCGGGGGGAACCGGTATTGGAAACCCGACCTACATATCCCTCCAGGCAGAAAAGTGGGCAAACATGGCAAAGCAGACAGAGTCGGCGGAGCGAGGCGGAGCGAATGTGTGCATGTGTGTGCGCGTCAAGGTGTGTAACAAGGTGTCTGGGTGTGCTACCAGCACCACCAGAGCGGCAAATAGTAGCGCCGTGGAGCCTGATGGGGTTGGTGCGTCGACCCTCACTCTGAGATGCCTCCTCACCTCACCTAAGCTTGCTAAGTGCCTAGGCACCTACCTACCTTACCTGCTTTTAGGTGCTACATTGCCTAGGTACCAATGTGAATGCATGCACGGGCAAAGCCAAAAGAACAGATAAGAACAAAAGCAGGAAGACATGACTTAGTCATCCTAATACGACTACCGGATGGTTCATGTGCCGAATGCCACTCTCAATTAAAACCTGGCAAACGAAAACGCCACCGTCCAGGGGTCGGTCATCAATCGACGTCTGCACGTACCCGACGTCGTTCGTGCCTCCAAACCCCCCCCCCCCATACATGTAACTCGAGACATATCGGTGCCAACGCATCAGCGCCTCGACTCCAGCAACTCCATGCCCCAATTCTTCTTTCCGGCCTCTCTTACTAGTCGTCCCGGGTGAATAAACATGTAAAGAGCCAGAATCAAGGTGATGGGAACGGCGTCAAACAGATACAGGAAGACTTCATGTCTCATGACGAAGCCATCGCCGCCCTGCAAGTACTCGACACCCCTGACCAACGCCCGAGTCAACATGGCTAGAGTTGCGGCGTAGCTGACCCCGAAGTATCGCGCGCCGTTCAGCGGAATCGACCCCCCGTCCTTTGCCATCGCCAGTCTCCTAGCATGGTGATGGGCGTGGAAATTGGAAAACGTGAAGAGGGACAGTGCCACGAGCTGCGCGATCAGCCCGCCGATGATGAGGTTTCTGCCCAGCGCGATACCCTCGGGGTCACCGGATGCCGGCATGACTGAACCGAACACTTGGGTGACAAAACACCCAACGTCCACAATGATGTAGAACACCGTTGTGAGCCTTGGACTGATCGGAAGGTGCTCGCGGAGGTCAAGCGCTTTGATCGCTCGGCCGAGGCTCATGTACACGGTGGCGGCGATGAGCGGCGCCATGCCCAGTATCAGGAGGTTCTGGATAATGAATGGACCAGCGACATTCGGACTGCGATGGGCCATCACTCGTCCATAGTAGCCGAACGCCTCGCCTGGCACGCACAGTTAGCAGGGCCGGGGTTCGAGTGCCGCAACAATAGTTCCTACCGATGGTACCCAGGATGAGCGGCAGAAAGTGCCACGCGCGTAACTTGAACAGCAGGAATATGTGAATAATCGTAGCCAATCCGAATATGATAACAAAAGTCCAGCCTGCCGCTTGGTTTGGAAGGTAGTGGTAAAAGACAATCTGCGTGCCGTTGACGATGGGACCAAAAGGGGGCCCCTCGGCGTCGTAGCTGACACCAGACATGATGGGATCTGCGTGTGAAGATGTCGTGAAGAACAATACACTCGGTTGGTAGAGGTTCGTCCGCCTTTCGTCGGGTCGAGGTTTGTCGAAGCTTGAGATTTGGTCTCAACGGTAAACAGGCAACGCCGAGAGCTTGGGATACAACGCATTTTTTGAAAACGAGGGCCTCATATATCAACTTATCGACAGTGTGGATGCCATGCAGTCTATAAACAGTCCCCAAGTATCATCACGAACCCACCCCCACCGACGACACAGACCCCCAATTAAGAACCTTATGCCTGCTCCGGTTCAAATAACTCGGGATTGAAAACGGAAATTCCCCGTATACCTGAACAGCGACGACTGAATCGACCGAGAAAAGTGGGCAAAGGCGAATGTGTTTGACGATGAATACGCATATTCGGACCCGAATACGTAAATCCAGCCGTCCTCCCGGCACGTGAGACCTTGCCACTGTATGAGGATATCATGCCTGGAAACGACATCCTTGGTATCCCGAGAAACAGTAAATAAGAGCCGCAATCTTGATCGCGCTGTTCTCCAAATACAAAAAGTATCTCACTGATGTCTGAAGGTGTTACAATTTTGGATGCCTTGTGCTGGTACGCAGCATTTATTGTCGATACGAGCTTCTAACATCCACGTCTATTTCAGCTCGCAACAAATGCATCCAGTCCATCACCCGTTTGTACAGATTGTCGGTGGGAGACAAATCCAGGCTTCAGGTATGCCACTGGATCGGATCCCCTCGGCGTCTGGTGCTTGAGGAGCATGGTTCGACGACCTTGGATCGCGTGCACCGGCCGGAAGGGACTTGGGAGACAACAGCCCCAGCCCTGATAGCGAGCGAATAATGACCTTTAATCAGCATGGTTGGTCACGTAGCGTAGTATAAGACCTCCGCCGCATGCTGTCGTTTCCATGCCTTGGACCCTGCGAGGAACCTTTTCCTCGAACGAAGATCTCCAGTCGACTCATGGGGAAGCTGGGAGAGTATGCGGCAAGACTGACTAATCATGGTGGGGCCGCTGCGGGCAGTGATGGATAGTTCCGATTGGACCGTGCTCATGCACCTCTCGTGTAGCACTCTAGCGTCAAATGGGGGCAGCCAATTGTTGCATGGTTTGCTGGATCTGTTCCTTAGGACTGATGGGTTCCTCATGTGACGTGAGGCTAGCCGTGACCTCATTCCCATGATGGAAACTGATGGTGAGATCTCGCACAAAATCCATTGGCTTTATCTCAATCTGTTTGCCACAGGTACGACGCAAGATCGCACTATCTGCGTCTCTGTCAACGACAATAACCTTCAAGACCTCCAAACAAATCTACAAGTGACGACGTCACGAAGCCAAGGCAACCGAGGCAGCTGTGAAGGCGGTTGAAGCACGACATGCAATGTCAACACAGCTGACAAGGAAACGCCCGCGAGATGGCACCCCCGAAGACGCGAGTTCGCAAGTTTCACCGCCGTAGTAAGAATGGGTGTATCGTTTGCAAGGAGCGCCATGTCCGATGCGACGAAAGACAGCCGCTCTGGTGAGTCCTCGTGCCCGCGGAGACAGCGACGGATCAGTCTGATGCTCAGGTCAACACAGCACCAATTGTCTGCAGAATGGCACACAATGCCGCTATCCTCCGACTGCACAGGCCAAGAGAAAAACGACGCCCCCGGACGCCGTCCTCGTTCGGCCCACAGTTACACCCAGTCCGACGTCTCTCCTGTCGACCAGTCATGCCTTTGCTGGGTTTGGCAAGGACTATCAACTATCTAACAAGTCAAAATGGCTCTTCCATCACTGTGGGTTATTTGCAACAACACCCCAGAATCCGTGAATCACGCTGGTTCTTGGGTTCGGCCCATGTGAGAACATTCCCTAACGACGACGCCATTCGCCAGTCAGAACATTCTATGTGCGAGGGCAAACGCCCATCGAGCGAGGGCAGAACGTATCCACGTATGTGCTTTGGGGCGCCTGCACCGTCGCCGTTGGATTGCAGACTAACGGTATAGCGTGCAACGAACGTTCCTTCATCCAGGGCTGTTGCATGGTTCTCTCGTCGTCGCAGCATGTCAATGGGCGTGGGTGACCGGGTCCCTTGACCATGTCATGGTACCTTTCCTTCACCACAAAGCAGCTGCGTATGAGTTTGCGCGGCAGCAAGTTCTCGATCCAGAACAAGCCTTTACAGAAACCACCGTTTTCGCCATTGCAACGCTGGCATTGGCAGAGGTATGCTTCGGACACGTGAAAGTTGGACGGTTGTGGGAGCTAACATGACTCGGAACAGGGGGCCATCGGTGACTTGGATGCATCCTCGAAGCACCTTCGAGGCTTGCACGAACTGACCTTGAGAAAGAACGGGTACAGCCTTGCCAAGCTCAATACCGCACAGCAAATGCTTGAGATGTAAGTGCTTCTGGGGGCTGCATTGGAGGCACGTGATGCTGAATGGTGAGTGTATAGGGCAGGGGACCGACTGCGGAGGGGTGAAGTGGGAATACTCCATGATGCCATCGGGGCGGACTTCCAGCCAACGGTCATTGCTCTCTTGTTCACCTCATTATGGGACCTAGGCAGCCTGCCGCCCAGGGAGGCGCCGCGATACGGCTGGTGGGAAGCCAGCGAGACGAAGAGTGACAGACTCTGGCAGGGATACACAAAGAATCTCAACTGGGAGCTCTCACGAGGCTTTGACCCACAGCACAACATCACAATGATGCTGAACAGCGACCCGAAGAGTAGCAGAGCGAGCTACATAGCCACCTTTTTCTACGTGCTCATGGCTGTCAACGACAGCCGCGTCGACTGCGTCCTGACTGTTTGGCTCTTGGAGCAACTCATTGATGACATTTGTCTCAAAGAGGAGGACATGTTAGCTGGTACTTTCAGCCGACACCTCTGGCTTTGGAGTGTGCTTTTTGGGGCGGCCGTGGCCTCGGCTGGGCTGGCGACCGAATCCGAAGGCCAGCGACAGCTCGATATGTGGAGGGCAGTATATGCTGACAAGATTAGACTAGTCAGCCGTCTGCTCAACCTGCGAGACTGGAAGGACACGAAGCAGTCGCTCGCTGAAGTCGCTTGGACTGAAGGCACCATGGCGGAGAGAAAGCTTAGGGAGATTTGGGAGGACGCTGTGGGCAGAGAGAACCTGCCCGAGATGCTGGAGATGCAAAAGCTGCTTGAGCTCACAAGTTTGGGAAGCGCCGAGGCATGACGGTATGAAAGCCAGCTTGTAGATCTGCAGCTGAAGCAAAAGCGGTCATCCAATTGTTTCAGATACTTAGCATGGTTTAATGGCGTGAGGATTTCAATAGCGCCGTGGTTAGCGGGCCGTCGTCTTGAGTCCCCGGGCAGCAGAGTGTGGTTTGAGGACTTGAGATTGGCCAGGCGTCCTGGGGAATCGCAACGGGGCAATCCTCCATGACAAATTTGCCTTTAGAAAACGTTTAACGATCGTGATGTGACATGTGGTCGAGAATAGGGCATGTGTGTCAAGGGTTGATGTATTCGAAAGATATGATTAGATAATCGCTCTAACAGTTTTCACGATGACCTTGAATCAACGACTACGTGCATGGGTGTGGACCACGAGCCCCCTTACCTTACCCCACCTGGGCAGGTAGGTAGGTACCTAGGTACCTTAGGTATAGGAAGTAAGGCAGAGGAAGGTGAATCCGTGGAACACGACCTCCTCCTTCCTGCATTTGACACTTGGGATGCAGAGAGTGAGACGATACGGCACAGCCAGCACACACATGCGGGCAGGTCCAAATCGATCACACCTGTCAGGCTGGGTGCTGCCACTACATCGCACGACAGCTCCCCTCCTCCAGTCACTGTTCCTGTTTACTCCTTACCCCTCTTTGCTCCTCGGCCGCCCGCACGGCAGGTGGCCCAGCGTCAAACACATCATCAACAATAAGGAGGCATAGGCGATGTCATCTGGAGCCGGAACGATTTGTTAAAGTGCTTGCAGAGTAGGGCGTAGGATTCTGCTCGCCCATGGCAAGAAGCCACCACGCCCGGCTCCTGCGACGCCAAGCCCGCTGAACAAGTGGCCATGGACTGCATGAGCCCTCATGCGGCATCTGCAGCAATGGCCAGGCGATAAGCAAGCAATTGGTGAGGAGAGCATGTTGGGGCCAGAGCCGGTGTACGTGTCAGTCACGTTGGCATCGTCGCCGACCACTCGACGTTGAACACGCTTGACTCGCTGACACAACGGCAGATGGAGGAACATGTGCCGAGCGCTCAAGAGGTCACAGTCTCCGCCCTAGCCATGCGATCACCCACCCCGTCAACGCCAAGGGCGCCCGCCGGCTTGACGCTTGCTCGTAAGCCATACCCACCGCTGGCTTCTCCCGCACCAACCGTCGTCTTCTCGTCGCCCTTCTTCCCGCCCTCCCGTTGCCGCCGTTCCCGCACCATGAAACTCTGTCGAAGCAAAAACCTGTCAGAGCCACGACGCAGCGATTGTCGATTCGGTTTACTCCGTCCTTCCGCGAAGAAACTTCAAACGTATTGTCCATGATCGACAGCACCGTCGAGTGGTGGAAATGAAGACGCGACATTAAATGACTCGGTGACATGAGGTCTTGAGTCGGGAAAACAGGGGCTACCAGTGGTTTGGAGACGGGGACAACACCCTCCCATGATTAGATGGCACGTGGTCGTGGTGGTCTACTGCACTGATGTGCTGTCGCTGCAGCCATGATCCCTTACCGCTGTCGCGGACGTCTCTTCATCCGTTCCAACGATAGGTCCGGCACGCTTCCTATCCCCACCGCGGATCCCCCTGTAAATCAAGGAAGTAATCCCATCACCGCCAACTTTACACAGCGAACCTATCGCGAGCGCAGTCCCCGACAGCCAGCTCACACATCTGCGGCCTGTGTGATGGCCCTCACGGTCGTCACAACCAAACAGCGCGCTCAACCAGATTGCCAACGCGCAAGGGCATCATGCTGACAGGGGTTGCAAGGGCCACGCAAGAAGCCATTCCCAACCCCGTTCCTCATGGTTGATCACTGCGGTCTGCCTGGTTTGGCCATTAAAACCCAGTCGCCCCCTCATCCTGCCCAACTTTGTTTCTTCGTCTTCTTTTTCAGCCCAACTTCCAACTTTCCAGCCCAACCATCGCCTGCATCTTGCTGATCAGTTTCGGATCCCAGCATCCTCTCTACACGTCCTTTTCCAAGCATTGCCCACTACTCCCTCTCTTACAAGCCCCTCCTCAACTTCTCAACCTCAAGGCTCTCAAAGCAGACCCCTTTGCCACCAAGGATCGCATTTTATCTCGACATCTCTTGCTCCGAGAGACTTGCATCCCACTCCAGGACTGAACTCAATCAAGTCTGCCCAGGATTCAATGACATCCGTTGTTGTCTCACGCCCGGATATGCCTGGCTACACATCTCTCGACATGGACGATGTCCATACGCCCTCTAGGTACTGTTTTCACTCTTCTGTCCCACGGCGGCCTTGTTTGCTTTTACACATCCTGTATGCGCAAGTCTTGTTTCTCCTAAGTTCAAGCGTTTGTCTTCACGGTCGCCAGACCATCACCAGATCAAGGACAACCACAGGATGCAACCCAGGATTTATGGACAGGACTCCCGGATCCAGGACACTTCCACTCGAGACGAGGATCACAGGACCTCTCAAAGGATCACAGAACTTGAACCAAACTTCTTGCTCCTTGTGGGCAGTCTCGAGCGCCTCTTACGAGGCGTCTCACACGAGACACGTCGCTCCAGACGCAGGATCAAAGATTACTCTATTCCACGTACACCTGATCTATCGATCGTGCTGTATCAGTAAGTATCGCTCGACAACCAACGACACTTTGCTATATCGGATCTTGACAGTGCCCATGATATGGACTTGACTGGATATGTATTCATTGCATGCCCATGGAATCACGCTCGTGGACTAAGGATTGTCTCGCCTGAGACTTTGGCTCACCCAGGCGCCCCCCTGGACGGTATTCTGGACTCTCTTTTGCTCGCACTTTGCGCATTCTGGCTTGTGGACCACTTGCGGACATCGACGTTGTTGATCATTACGCTTGACCACACTGAACATTTCCACGGAAACGACACACCTTCACCAAGACCTCGGAAGCACCACTGGGCTACTCGATCCCGATCACACCGGACAGCGACTGGGACGACCATGATTTTACTGAAACTACCATGCATTTCTACCTGATCTGTACCGCGCGGTACAACCCCATGTCGACGCTGGACTTTGGAACGGCGACGAACGTACATCGACGGACCGACGGCTCTCTCCCAGGTAATACGACTAGCGGACCAACCGGTGACATCCTTTGAATCCAGCCACGGACTGTTACACACCTACACAAATCGGAACCTCGTGATAATTTGTTGCTCTCATCGACTTGCCCTCAAACCTGAAGCGACCTCAAGGACGACGTCGACACCTAACACCACCCAAAACCCGACGCCCGGACTATTTGACTGCTGTGTTTGATCTACCTTGACCCTGGAGTGCTCCCCACTGGCCCACGGCGACGGAAAGGATGTTTGTTGCGAAGGCTGCTTGCTGGTCTCCTCTCACCTTGGTCTGTAAACACCGCTATCCAATATCTGTAGGAATAACAGCTAACATGCAGCCCGTTGTAGGAACAAAGTTGTCCCACATTGAGATGACCTTTTTCTTGTCGTCTGCAATGGTCTTGATATTTTTGAATTTAGTGGAAACACAGCACACTAACCTCCACCCAGTGACTACAGTTTCTACCAGGCCGCAATGGCACCCACGGGAATGTTTTCCTTTTCTTCTCAAACAGGACCATCCTCGGATCACATCAGTGGTTCGTCGTGGGACACGACAGGAGAAGGTTCACAGAACTTCCAAGATTTTCTTGATACTGGATCTGCCCACCAGGGCGAGGCTGAAACTTTTTCCTTCCATCTTGATGGCCACATCACCCCTCGCGTGCAGGCGCCACAGGCCGTGGCTGCTCCTATCGGCGGGGAGCCGATGAGGAGGGGACTTTCGCGAACATCCACTGGAAGCCACAAGCACAGGATTACCAAGCCCTCATCCAAGACCAGGATGGCTGCTCCGTCATCACAAATGTCTTCACGCATGTCCAACATGGACATCACAGGTAACAGCTCTGTCTTTACCCCCGGAACTCAACCCGGCGCCCACTTGATGGATGTGAACTCCTGCCTTTTCCTGGACTCTGATGCGAGCGGCGTCTCGTCCCACATGCTGTACTCTGGATCCGGAATGTCTCTGGACCTTGGTATGGGTCCTGATGGATTGCCCTCTCCGCCAACAGAAGTTTCGCTGCAGCACGTTATTCCCACCCACATTCAGCTGGATCACGATGCGAGCTTGACCAGCCACTCGCCCTCGGGTTCCTGGGCCACGTTCAGCCCTTCGGAATCACACATGTCCGGGCCATCCTCTGAAGGTAGCCCCGCTCACTGGGCACTTCCCGAACCCCTGGCTTCTCCTCCCCGCAGCGAGAACGGATCCCCTGCAATCCAGGCACAGCTCCGGTGCGTCGTGCCTCAACCCCTTGGATGAAACTTCATTTATCTAACCACATCGAGTAGATTGGACGGCCAGTACCATGGTCAGGATATGCTTTCGGACGACATGTCTGCTACCGTGATGCCTATGAGTGACGACTTCGCTCTGCCCCCATCTTACACTGCCCGTCGGCCTGTCAATGAGGGCGAATCTGCTCGTGACCACCCTCTCTACAAGAATGCGTCACCCGGTCCTGATGGCCTCTTCCACTGTCCTTGGGAAGGACAGACGAGCTGCAACCACAAGGCCGAGAAACTTAAGTGCAACTACGAGTAAGTTCGCCTAGGATCAGCAACACAACACCCGTGAGTGCTTGCTAATCATGCGTTTTCTTCCAACAGCAAGTTTGTGGACTCTCATCTCAAGCCCTACCGGTGCAAGGACACCTCTTGCGAGAACGCCCGTTTCTCTTCGACTGCCTGTCTTCTTCGCCACGAGCGTGAAGCCCACGCGATGCACGGCCACGGAGACAAGCCCTTCCTTTGCTCGTACGACGGATGCGATCGTGCTCTTCCTGGTAACGGATTCCCCCGCCAGTGGAACCTCCGGGATCACATGCGCCGTGTACATAATGATAGCAGGATTCCGGGGTCGCCTACCAGTTCGACCACGGGCCACACCCAGCAGGCTGCTAAGAGCCGCAAGCGAAAGGACGCTCCCAAGGTCATTCCGGCAGTCAGCCGCAAGAACAGCGCCAAGGCTAGTGTTGTGGCCGCCGCTGCCCAGGAACAGGAAGCTCCTAGGCCGCTCATCGAGGAATGGATCGCCCAACAAAAGGCCCTTGAAAGCATTGTTCAGGGGCTTGCCCAGCCAGACAACGCTGCCATTGCGCACCTTATCAAGGATGCCCAGGGTCACCTGAACACCATGGGAAAGCTGGCTTCTACCATGAGCCAGGGACAGACTGTGCAAACTGTCCGCAGGACTTATAACAACACGGGATGAACGCTGCCAGGTTCGTAGCAAAGCCAGACTTGTTGATATGAGCCGTTGTCTAACATCTCTGGCCGTTACAGAACATGTGCCATTTTTTTGCACTCAGGAAAATTTCGGACCGGGGGGGGGGAGTCCCGACGCAAGTGCGTGGACCTCGCCTTACCCAACTCTGTCGACGACGAGTAGACGACGCACCTCGCGGTCCTACACGTCGTCGACAAGATGCGGCGACCTGCGTTGTGGCAAACGCTGCAAGGTCGGAAGCTGCAGACCGGACGCAAAGCCAGGTCATCGGAAAAAAGATGCCCCAGTGATTTGCATGCATGCGTCGTGCGGCTCCCGGTTAGGTAGCCGCACCGCCGCAACCGAGACGATACTTCAGGTCATGAGATACCCAAGCCACACCCAGGAGGGTGGTGGAGAATCATGTAGAGCCAAGAGCTCAGAAGGACCGGTGTTGTGTCTGTAGATGAGAGTTGTGAGGATTCCCGCGAACGACGCAAAAGACAAAATTTGTGAGCCAGGGAGATTTGTGTTGAACAGAAATAGATGTATCCAGAGTATGAGATCGCCTAAAGGGCACCACAGAAGGACCAAATAAACAGCTTGTAGTAAAAGCATGCACCCCTACTATCACAGCGTGATACTATCTACTGTCCATACTGATGAAGATTGAGATGCCTGGACTGTCTTTCCGAAATGGACCTGGCGTCTCCGAGGTTGTCATTCAGTGGAGCCGTGGCAGCTGAAAGATTTTTCTTGTTCGACGATCACGATACAATTCATGCATCATCCACTCACTACTGTGAAGCCAATCCTCAAAGAGTAAAATAGGGGTAGCAATTCTGTACTCGAAGGTAAGGACTGGGGAACCATCGGCCTCGGGCAACACAAAGGCGGCCTGGACAAACAAGTTGCGAAAAGGTTTTTCCCATGCACAAATGACAAAATGACAAGAACAAATCAACGAAGACGCATACGGCAAAACGAGACGTGGGGGAAAGAAAAGGAGAGATTCTTGAGATATACACTAATACACAGCCTGCTGGCTTACACGAAGGACCGCTCCTCGGTCAGGTTCCGTGTCGCCGTGTCGCTGCCCCGACTGCTCGTCCGTTCGTACGAGGGCCGAGCCCGGGTGCTTTCTGTGTTCTCAAAGTCAAAGTCGATGGGGATGGAGTAGACGGACTCCTTAATATGTGGCAGCGGCTTGTTGACATCGTAGAAGGCGAGGTGCTGGGGCTCGGAAAAGTCGGGGGTGCGGACGGGCCGGTTGAAGACGACTTCCTCTTCAAGCTCATGGATCGTCGAGAGGGAGTCGCGCTTGGGGCGGTCTTTTTCCTCGCGGTGCGACTTGATGGACGCCTTGCCGACAGAGCGGGCGCGAGACGCCGAGGCCGTGCTGATGAGCTGAGGCAGGTAGCGAGCGAAGAAGGGCTTGGTGGCCGGCACGCTGGCGGCCATGATGCCGACTAAGAGCTCGATGGACGACATGAGCCAGGTCAGCCAGGCGTGCCAGGAGAGATCGCGGTCGCGGCTGCTCGTCATGAGGTGGGTGAAGTAGACGCGGGCGGCGCTAGCGGCGCAGGCCACGAATCCGGCGGCGAACAGGATCGAGACGATGGTCACCTGGCGAGGGCAGAGCTTGCCCTCTTGACGGAGGCGGCGGACAATGGCCAGAGGGAGGATGACGACTAGCAAGTTGGTCGAGGTGTTGATGATACCGCCAGCAAGGAGGTGTGTCGCCTCGTCGACGGTGCAGTTGACGGGTTCGAGTGACAACCTCCAGTAATGATACAGAGGCCTGGGAGTGTTTTTTCAGCTTTTCACGTCTTTCAACCGGAGCCAAGGGGAGTCCAGGGGGGCGTCTCCTCACTTACCGACATTGCAGGAGGCTTACGAGGAGAAAAGAGAGACCGCTGGCGCTGATGAGAACCATTGAGACAATGACGATGAAGCGAACTGTCTTTGACGTTTGACAGGCGAGTCGATAGATCAGAGCCAGCATGGACAACTTGGTGAAGCTCGTGGCGAGGTCGAACATGACAAAGCTAGATAGAGCGAGCTTCAAGCTCCCGGGGAACAACCTGGGCCGCACATCCCACACATGGGTACCCCAGCCATAGTGTGCTGATGCGACGAGGCCGATCGCGGTAAAGGCTGCTGTGGCGACGTAAGCAAAGAGAATCAGGATGTCGTCCCAGCCGAATCCCTTTGTGATAACCTTGCGAGTGTAGACGCGGATGGCGACGAGGAATGTGACGACGATAAGCAGGGTAATGGCGACAATGGCAGCTGCAGGTCCCCTGGTCTCGGGATTGACATAGTTGGGGACCGGCCAGCTCGCAATGATGTCCAGCGGCGGGGTCTTCATCCTCTGTTCATAGTAAGCACTCTGTGTCGACGTCCAACCCCAAATGTCCAAAGACGAAAGAAAAGGACTGCCAGTACCAGACTGGGAACGAGAAGGAGACGACACAATATATTACAAGGCGAAGGGGAACAGGATGGCCGTGTCCGCACGCAGGATCAGAAAGAGAGAGAGTCCAGGGGCCAGAGCGACCTGCATTGACAGGCACCCGACGTCAAGTCGGGTCTACTTAACAGAAGATGAGCGACACGAGTGAGGGCTCAGACCAAAGGAGGCCAATGAGACAGGAACTAGCTTGCGGGGGATCAGCACCAGGGAACATGGATGTCGTGCGTTGCGGTCTCGTGCTGTGTCGTCGAGACGTTGCCGCGCCGCACTGACAGGAGGAGCGATGTCCGTGGGTAGCACGATATCGTGGCTGCGCTGGCTAGTGTGTCTCTGAGACTCGGAAAGGGGGTTTGGGCGGCAGGAAACTCTCCATCACCACGGAAAAAACTTGGACTGCCTTGTCCAACTGTACAGGTACATTAACCAGGCTTTGCGTAGAACAACTGCCGTAGTCCAGCGCCGGGTAAGTTTCCAACGAGAGATTGGTAGTTATCCTCTGAATGACAGTGGATGGTCCAGCAAGAATGCGAAAGTCGGCTTGGCAGTCTTGATTTGATCCGAATCTGGCGTTCTTGGCTTCTAGTCTCAGAACGCCAAAGGGTTCTAGTCGCGTCTGCTAGACCAAGTCTGACTACGGGCGACAAACCATTCCTGATAAAGGAGGATGCGCGTGCGGGCCGTACGTAGATCCCAAACACTTATTTGCCCAATGGAGACAGGCGGAGAGAGATACGGAAACATGGCCAAAGACGACTCGGCACTTCGGCTGCAAAGAAGGGGGAGCGCCTGACAGTGGACCGATTCGCCGACAATCGCACAGACATTGGTTTGCGCTGTATCAGAGCGCCAAGACTGACTGGCCTCGGTGGACTGGGGATGAGTGAACTCGTGGCTGTGATTACAATTCCCAGTGGGCCCTTCATTGGAAACAGTAGACGTCAGAGCACACGACGTGACACTCAACCCTACCTGGGACTTTGGACTCGGATGTTGGCTCTTCCTGACAAGGTGGCGGATATCTGACGAACAGGGAGACTGAAGTTTGCGTCGAGATGGGCATCGCGTGGGACGACGAAATCCGATGTGAGACGAACAAATCATGGAGGATAGCTCACGAATCTGGTATCGAAAGCGAATACTGCGGTAGATTCGAGGCAGCAATGGCTGTCCCACAGATAACCGCTTATCGTGCGAGCAGGTTTCCATTTGTGACGATCCCATCCGAGCTCTTGTACCGAGCATGTCGCTTGCACTCGCCATGCCTGTAGCCTCATCCTTGAAGCTCCAGTATTGACAGTTGAGCATGACAGACTGCACGAGTATGCTACGGTCATCCCATAGCTGACATTCTTCCATGGCTAAAAACTTGGCCGTAGACTTTTCACACCGTAGGAAATATGTGACCACACCACCGTCAGTGGCATCGTCGGACATCCGAGGCTGCCAGCTCGTGTTGAAACACATAATATAGCGTGATACTGTTCATTTGCAGAATGCTCCAGAACGAGGCGTTGTAAAATTGGCTTATCGCTCAATTGACATGAGGTATGTTGAAGCAGACAATGTCTGGGGTGGTAAACGTGGCCTTGAACTCCGTTGCAGTGATAGAATGGCACACAGTGACCCTCGAAGGCTCGACTAGAGGCCCGACAAGTGACCACTACTGAGAAGTGACACTCCTTTGAACTGGAATACCTGCAACGATGAGCAGCTGATTAGCACATCATTTGACTCCCTCTTTCCCCCACAATGTTGTTTCGAAAAGGCTGTCAGACTCAAACAACACAGATGGACTAGATTGAGCTTTGTACGGTTAAAAAAAGCGGTTTCCCAGAATCTAGCTTCAATAGCAACTCCTACTTCGATCCACCAGTCAACCAGGACAGACCCGGGACCTGGAAGGAGGCAGCAGGCGGGTAGTCCTTTTCGCCGACCTTGACGCGCGGGGTGCAGGTGCACCACTCATCCTCGGAGATGCCATCCATAGCGGAGGAAATGTGTTTTCCGCATCCGCGCCATGTCCGCTTCGCTGTGCGACCAGCGGGTAAGCATTGTAAGCGTGACACGGCTGAATAGAAGACTTACAACAGGTCCCGCAAGTGGCTCCCATACACATGATGAAAACGAATATGAATGTGGAGGGTTGTGGGCGGAGTCGGTGTGCGGGGTTTCAGCTTTTGCAAGTTTGGCTTGTGTTGATGTTGGAAGCTACGTGATGCAGATAGTAAGGAATTCGGGACCTGAAGCGATGGGACTCTTGGGGGACGGTTTCGTTTTATGCTTTAAAAGATAAGACTAGGGATACGCCGGCGTCGAAGGTCTACCGCGAGTCGGCGACCACATGACAGACGGGCTTCAACCCACCCCGCCGAGCGCTCCGGTATCGCCGACCTCCAAGGGTGGGGCCGACAGAATCCGGTGAATGAAGGCAGCCGATACTGGGCTCCTGCACGGCCATCTTTTTGGCCTAGATGTCCTGTAGGAACTGTACCACACGATCGTTGAGCCAGGCCTGTCCATCTGGCTGCCTAACGGTATGGCCCGCTCCGGGAATCAGCCCTGAGAGGGGGTGGACATTCTTGCCTAGCTTCTTCCACAAGTCCACAAGAGCCTGCTTATCGACATGAGCGGGGACGTGCTCGTCCTCGGCCGAGTACAGAGCCATCGCCGGCTTCTGGAACCGGTTCCATATTCTGGAAACCGTTTCCTCGTCGAGGTCAGACGAGAAAGTGTCGTCGTCACCGCCCTTGGAAATGAGCGAGTGCCAACGGTAGGCCGTGATGGGCTCAAAAGTATGAGCCACCTGTTCAGGTCGTAGCATCTCGTCTCCTCGTCCCTCGGCGATCATACTGGCGGCAAGCTCGACGCTTTCCCTGAGCTTCTCAGCGTCCACGTGGATGGCAGCGGCCTCGCGATCTGACACGGGGCCCTGCAAGATAAAGCCATCGACGGGATCGTCCTCATTCGCGGCGTACTCGACACAATCCTGCCATGGTCAGTCGTGCCAGCTGGTCGCCAAGTGGACAAGAAATACCGACCTGGGATCCCGTCGAGTGGCCCATGAGCACGATTTTCTGCTTATCGATGCCTCTGAGGTACCTGACGAAGGCCGCAATGTCCTCGACGTCCTTCTTGAGGCTCGAGTAGCCAAAGCCTGTAAAGGAGCTCCTGATGCGGATTTCGAAGACCGAATAGTCCAGTCCCGACTCCTCCAAGTGAGTGGCCAGAGGTCGAACGAATGGAACCGTGTGAGGTCCATCACCCAAGCCGCCGACAAAGATGATGGCCTTGCGGGCCTTCACCGGGCCGTACTCGTAGGCGTGGGAGATGTTTCCCGCGGACTCGAAGGGGTGGGCGATGCAAACAAATGGTGTGTCCATCGTGTGTGGTATTAGACAAACAAATACAAGGGTCAAGATCGAGATGGCTCTGGGTTTCACAATGATTGATTGTCTTCACGAGCAGTGAATCTAGATGAACAGGTTTGCGCAGCGAAGAGTGGCCCTCGATCTGTTCCATTACCTGATGGAAAGGAAGCGTGCCCCTCTTTCCCGCCGGTCGAAGGTGCTGGGCTACTACTGCCCTCCACTACGGACTGTTGTAGTGCAAGAGCCTACAGAGCTGCCTGCCCAGCCCCCACGAGTACAGTGCCTACCGGTCTAGGCACGGTATGAATAATGTGCACAATTCACAACTCAATCATCAGGAACACTTTGCTCTGGACCTTGACGTCGCTCTCCACCGTGCTGCATCCCAGTTACCTAGGTAGAGCACCTACTTAGATCTAAACACACCATAGGTCATCTTCGCACAAGACTCGACTTTTGCGACCAATACACGAAGAAGCAGCCACAACACACTGGCGGTTCTATTCGTTACATTCAACACTAGCCAGTGCTCATGGCTTGAGCCTCGAATGCGTTCGTAGCCGCACCCTCAATGGCCAACATTTCACCAAACCCTGCCCGCAATGAGTTCTTTCAACAGGTTGGCAGACCCTTCTACTCTCACGTTCCGCCTGCCCATCTGACCGTTCCGCCAGCTCAAACCCTGCTGCGTGTCCATAAGCCGGATAGCGATTGATCCACCAAAGGGAGCCACAGCAATTCGCCATCTTGTCGACCTGATCGAAGAGCTTCACGGCATTATCAGTTCCCAAATCAACCGTGATGCTTCCGTCTTTGACGACAAGCTGGCCGATTATGTTTTTTTTCCCCTGTCCCACGTCTTCAGAAACCAGGAGGGCTATCCTGCCCGTCTCTTGGAGGCTGCCCTCAGGTGTCTTACCGCCATCACTGTTCATGGCTGGAAGGGCAGCATCTCACCCCAGATCGTCGAGCAGCTTCTCATCCTGCTGACTTTTATTGTTGGGGGGGCACCCGGACAGAACGACCAGCATAACTCTCCAGAAGAGACGACACTGGAAGCTCTCAGGGCGCTGACAGCCTTGATTACAGCGGCAGGCTCTTCTGCCGCTGCCGCCGCGTCCCTCGTCGATGCCAAAACCATCCCGGCACTGGGACATGGCGTCACGGTGGTCATCGACAGTGTAGCCAGTGGAAGAACACCGGAAATCCAGCTGGAATCATTGCGAGCGCTCCAGGCGGTATTCGGTAGCATCAAAGACCACGCTGCGCTGGCCACTCTGTTACCGGGTGTCGTCTCGGCCCTCACCAAGCTGCTGTCGATGCCAGCCCACGAGAAGACGCGGGTACTCGCGGCAGCCATCACGACCTTGAGGCTAGTCCTTGTTGCCGTTCTCGGTGACATGAGAACGAGAGCCATCAGCAGAGAAATTGCCAAAGACTCTGAAGCTGACAACCAGAAAGTGCTGAGTCGGCCATGGCTAAACGCTACCGTTGCTCAAATCAAGCTGGCTCTGGCCTCCGTCATGAAGCTTCGCAACAGCAAGACCCACGAGGTCCGCGATGCACTCGCAAACTTGTCCCTGACGCTTCTCGATGAGTGTCACACGACCCTAGAAAACTGCAGTTCCATTCTGGTCGAATCAGCCACCATGTTGGAACCCGAGGAAGACGCACCATCCACCCTCACCACTAGCCTACAGGATTTGGCGACCATCTATCCTGAACTAGCGGAAGTAATTAAGGTCACGGTATATAACTGGCTGACCGCCCTGCCGCGAATCATGCAGTCGGCCGAAGAAGAGAAGAAGCAGGCCGCGATTCGTAACGTCCTGAAGGGCACCGAGTTGGTGTCACGTTTGCAACTGGATTCTTCCACGCTCAGTGACGCCGTGTCTATGGCCCTGCGAGACAGTGTGTCCTCCCTTCTGGCTGGCGACGGTCAGAAGCAGGTGGTTCAGACTGTGTCGTCGAGCCTCGTCCCGCTTTCGGGGAAAGATCTCACCCGGGCCGATAGTACTGCAGCGGACTACAGCTTGATAGTCCTTGGCCATGAGAGTCAGATAACCACAAGATCTGAACTGTTGAGGTTGATCTCTAAAGTCGGATCTGCGTCTCAACAAGTGAAGCTGTCGCTCGATATGCTGGACCACTCGCAAGAACTGACAGATGCAGCCCAAGTCTCTTCCCTCTGGCTATCCTTCGAGCTTGTCAAAGCTGCCTTCACTCGGACTTCTGACGTTGATGATTATCTTGACCTGTCATCGGTCACTACAGAGTCGGAAGATCCTGAGACAGCCTTGCGCGAGCTTTATGCCCTCTCTGTGTCATTCATAGACGCTAGCATGGAAAATACAGATGTCGATTGGCGGCTTGAGGCCGTGGCGCTCGAGGTAGTGGCCTATGCAGCATCTCGCTCGAGGGAAGCATTCCGACCCGAACTCATCGATGTCTTATACCCCATTGCAGCTTTTCTGGGTTCATCAACCCCCCAAATTCGAGAACACGCCATGACAACCTTGAACATCATTGCGAGCTCTTGTGGTTACTCGAGTGTTTCAGAGCTCATTATAGAAAACGTTGACTACATGGTCAATTCGGTTTCACTTCGGCTCAACACGCTCGACATTTCACCGGCGTCCACCAAGGTTCTTATTATGATGACCCGCCTCACAGGCCCTCGCCTTATACCATATCTGGACGACGTGGTAGCCTCCATATTTGCAGCGCTCGATAATTACCACGGCTACCCTGTCTTCGTCGAGAATCTCTTTGCCGTTCTCAAGGAAGTTGTTGAGCAGGGCGTCAGATCTGATAGACTCCTCCTCGAGGGCCGCCAAAACGGCTCTTCGGACCACGTGAAGCGGCGGCCCAGACCGACAGACATTAATGACATTGTTGCCTACCTCGATCGGCGCGCTGAACGGAAGAAATTGCAACAACAAGATGAAGAGAACAGCACGGTGCAGGGTCACCCTCCTCGACCTTGGGGCCCTGAAGACGAGAAGCAGGAAGAAGATGACGAAGCCGGCGGCGGCGAAGTCGAACAGGAGAAGCCCCCCAAGACACCAACGTATGTTCTTCTGGAGAAGGTAGCAATACTAACACAGCACTATCTGACCTCCCCAACCCCGACTCTCCGCAAGTCGCTCCTCGACCTCCTCATCACAGTCGCGCCGGCTCTCGCCGCCGACGAAGATTCTTTTCTACCCCTCATCAACACCGTCTGGCCCGTCGTAGTAGCCCGCCTGTATGACGCCGAATCTTTCATCATCATCGCCGCATGCGACACCCTCGCCATCCTGTGTGCTACGGCGGGTGACTTCCTCGCGTCCCGCATCAAGACGGAGTGGTCGGATGCTCTCCACAAGTGGTGTCAAAAAAAGAAACAAGAGGCTCTCGACAACCAGTCTCGCCAGAGCCAGGTCCGCGGAAAGGCCGCCCTCCTCCACGATGTCGCGCCCGTTCACAACGTCGTCGTACCGGCCCGTGCAGGTGGCACGCGTGAGATGAAGACTGCAATTACGAAAGATATTTCGCGGTCTTCGCCGTCCTCAGGCGGCGGTCTCGGCCGCTTTGCGTCGGCGGCGCAGACGTGGGAGGCTGTGGTTCGGCTGCTCATCGCCATTGTGCGTCACGTGCGGATCGAGGATGAAATCTACGACGGCGTGCTGGCGCTGCTGGCGGATCGACTGGAGCACGACAACGAGGCACGCGAGGCGCTCGAGGTCGTCAATGCTGACGCGGTTTGGTTCTGTCTTTATGAAAGGGGAGCTGTGGAGATCCTTCCCACGCCAGTGATGGAGGGTGTGACTTTCCCTGACATGATTCAGTACGGCTCTCAAGCATGAGGAGAAGCTTCTTCCTCGACGGACGCCGTACCGAACTATGTCAGGGAAATTCCTACATTCTATCACTGGCGTGGGAAGTATCTCCCTAGTTCTCTTCTTATACAGACAGGACCAAACCGCGTTAGCATTGACAACTTCTTGCTCGACGGAAAATCAACACATTGATCTACATGACTAGTTTTGTGCTTCGATTCACGGGAACTATGCGTGCTTGTGGGTGGGTGGAAATTGACTGCGTTGACTTCGCCTGCTACTCATTGTGTTGCCAAAGACCCTCTTACTAGCCCAGACTCGTACCGCGAGGGCGCAGGAGCGTCTACCTCCCAGGTCGTTCGCGCGGCTCGGCGTCTATGTCCCGCTCAACCATCTCGATGGCGCTGAGGCTGGGGAACCGCTTCGAGAAGTCCTCGACGTAGTCATCCTTCTCCCTGGCCGTCATGTCCAGCACCGGGCGGCCAGGGATGTCCGTGCCTACGAGCTGCTCGTTGGCTGGCAGCTGAGACCGTTTCGGCGGAGAGGCGGCGGCACCCCCCGTCGGCACGCTGTTGAGGTGTTCCGGCTTGCGGGGCGCCGGCGGCTTGTTCCCCGTCATGGGCCGACTGTTGATTGGCAGAGGCTCGCTAGCTGGATGCCTCAGCTTGTTGACGACAATGTCTTGAGAGCTGATCGGTGGGGGAGTGGACCGAAATTTGGTGGTGACTGGCTTTCGTGGCAGTTCCGGCAATTGCTTGTCGACCCGACTAGCGGCAGTGGCCGCGTCGGAGTAGACGCCGTACCCTTGAGCCGAACGCTGAACTTGCGATGAGGTTTTCTGACCTTCGTCCAGCAAGCTCTGCACTCGGTTCTGAATGCTGACTGCCCTTGATGAGCCGCTGGCGGGCTTGGGCGGCGGTGTTGGGCGTCCCGTCACACCTGGGGGCTTGCTGGCGATGCGCTGGCGATATTCGGCTTGGGCAAGTTCGACACGTCGCTCTTCCTCTGCCAGTCGCTGTCGCTCCAGGTCACGCCGCATCTCGGGTGTCATGTCATCCTGGTCTTCCTGAGCTCGCCCGTCATCACTTCGCCCGTCGGTGGCCTCGGAACCCGCAATGGGGGTCAGATCGCGGCGGTCGTGTTCCTTTAGAGGAGACGGAGTCCGAATTACCGGTGTCGAATGTTTGCCCTCGAAGATCTTGAAAGCGTCTCCGAACTTGCCAGCAAGGATGTTTCGAGAGCCGGAGGTCGAGCTGACACTGCTCTTCTTTCCGTGCCACGAGCCTCGATCTTTCTTTGCGTCCTCCATGCTGCGCAAGAATTCGACGTTTGATTCGATGTTAGTCTCTTCCTCCGGCCCAAGGCTAATCAGCGCGGGAGAAGACGATTTATCGGCAGGCCGTTCTGGTAACCTGGGCGAAGGGATACTTGGCGATCCACTTGGCTTGGAAGCCATTTGCCTCTCGCGGAGGTAATCTATACTAGATTCGAGGTGTGTGCTGGCTGGACGTTGGCGTCCGATTGCCATTCTTGGCTGTAAAGATGTTCCCAGATGGTCTGCGCTGGGGCGACCCCCTTCTAATGATGGGCGAGATGACGAAGGATGGCGCGTGTGAGATTGATAAGAGTTTTGACGAGACAGTGGCCCCGAAGAAATTCCACCCTCACGGGACTCTACACGATGACTGTGGTCGGGTTTACGTGGTAGACTTGTAGATCGATGGTGATCGGTAGATGGTACTCGCCAGATCGCTGGTGGCTCCCGCGCCTTGTCGGATGGCGGTGGTGTAGATGTCATGGTACCAGTTGAAACATACTTCTGTGTGGATTGCGAGGAGATTGCTCGCAGTTCTGGATTTTGAGTTATGATCGCTGATGCTCGGCTCATCTCAGACGGCTTCGGTGGAGCAGATGCTGTTTTCTTCAAGCTGACTGTAGCTGTAGCAGGATATTCGACACTGGCAGGAGGTTGCGTAAGCGGAACCGGTTGTGCTATGGTATGCGAGCGTGTCGACTCTGACGCTTCAGGGGGGCTGGAGGGCTTTGCGAAAGCCTCGTCCGCCAGATGTTCAGTAACCTTCTGTTTGAGATCACTCTGCTGTGCAGCCGGGGGTGTTGCCGGAGAGGTAAAGTCAAAGCTCCCTCCACCGTTGTTGTGAAGAAGGGAAAATTGATCAAGCGTGGGAAAGCGAGACGAAAGCTCGTCGCCTCCCCCGGTGTTATTGTTCGCTTTGGCGTCGAGAGCAGCGAATGGATCGCCGCTGGTGACACGACCAGGCGATGGACTTGGTCGTTGAGACTGAGAGGCTGATTGCGTAGAGGCGACTGGAAGCCTGCCCCTTCTCATAGGAACCACCTCAGGGATAGTTTGCGTCTCTTGCGGCGGTGGGGAGAAGACAGCGCCAACAACTGGAGGCGTTGACTTTTCCAGCTGTGGTTTGTCGCTGCGTCGAGGCTCGGATTGCGCCCTGGCGGCGTAGATCTGTATTGCATTGGTAAGTGTAGATGCATGGGAGATACCAATTGACTCACATCATGTATTGGAACCTCGCGGCCTTGCATGGCGCAAGCCTCTCGTAATACCTGATAGACATTGGGCCTCGACTGCTGGTTTTCCCGCAACATAGAAGCTAGTCTTCGGTGAGTTACGATTCCTTGCGTACCGATATGACCATACCTATGAGCTTTTTCAGCCTGTCAGAGAAGACTGGGTGACTATGAAACCGAAAGCTTGCGTTCAAGATGGCCAATTGGCCTTGGTCCTCGAAGGGGGTCGTGTAGTAGCACAGCTTATACAGCAAGACACCGAGGGCCCAGATATCCGACTTTTCGTCAATGGGTTGTTTTCTGTAGACGTCAATCATCTCCGGGCTCCGGTATTGCAGGGTTGTGTGCTTCTGCACATCCTCGTCCAGGAGCCTACACTCGACAACTGTCTGGGGCGCGGGCTTTGGAGGTGCTGCTGAACCGAAATCGCAAAGTTTGAACCTCTTCTTGGACCCCTGGCTCAGAATCAAGACGTTTTCTACTTTGAGATCGCGATGCAGAAGCGGAGGTTTTAGGTAGTGCATGCAGGCAACTCCCTCCGCCACGTCGGTGAAGATGTGGAGGATCTCGGGCTCGGTCAACCGGTGTTGGAGCCGGGTGTTCATGAAGTCGATCAAGCCACCGCCGTTGCAGTACTCCATGAGGAGGAAAACCTCGAAGCCACCACCTCGAAGCTCAGAAGCGTGCGAGTCGATATATGTGACGATCATGCGGTGACCCTTGAGCCTTTTCATCGTCTCGACCTCGATGCGCATGGAGCGAAGCGCCTCCTTGTCAGGCACAGCAACCCGCTTGAGGACTGCCAGGTCCGTACCGTCGAGAGGCTTGGGGAGCTTGACGAGATAGACATGGGCAAAGCCACCTTCGGAGAGATATTTCTGTATGACGACGCGGTGGGAGCCGACCTGAATCTTGGTACCAGGGGCGAAGGTACCAGCTGGGGCTGCTGAGGCGTGTCCTGGCACGGGAACTGGGTAGTTGGCAGGTTGCGCTGGTCGGGGTGCAGCCGCGGCCGCGTGATGGCCGTAGGAGGCCATTGCAGTGACAGGCAGCAAGCTCGTCGCAGGAGGTAGAGGTTTGACAAGTGTCGTATCGATCGATCAATCGAGGTGATGCGATGTGCTGGAGGGAGGCTCGAGGAGGGGTCTCATGCGAGTTCGGAGATGGGTGAAACTGGGATGTGATGTGTAGCTACAACACGGTAAACAGCCGCAAGGGGTTCGTTGGACTACCGGCAAGGCATTTTCGAAATGAAAAGAACAGTATCTTGGTGTCCAATAACTAATGGAGCGGCGTGGGAAGTCAAGGTCCGTTGAACTGGGAAATCCCAAGATGGCGCATACGTAGGTCTGTCCATAAACATTGGCCAGGGCAGCCAAGGTAAGGTACAGTGGGGCGATAAAAGTAATGAACGGATTTTGCAATTCCACTCCTATATACTCACTGCTACTCACTACTACTATATTCAATGCCTCGTTAACGCCTTAATTTAAGGGCTAGAAGCCTAAAAAAACACTAATCGCCTTATAAA